TTTTCTTCCGGTTTTCTGCCAAAATGGCCGTTTCTGACGTTTCCTAGAATTGTTACGTCATCAAATCGAATTTTTAAAATTTAGGAATTTCCGCATCCTGCAGCCTTCACGATTAGTCCAATCGTTCAAATAACGCTCTTATTCCTTCAAAATCGCCAATTCGGTAGGTGCGCTGCTAATAACTCGAATCTGCTGAATCTGCATTTTGGTCCATTCTGGTCGAAAGTCACAAAACCTTAGACATGTTGCCAACATACGTTATCCGCACCGAATCAGCAATGGACCCCTCTATATACTCACAGGTGAACGTCCGATAAGTGAAGTCATCGTTGAATGTCACTGGAGATACTTGGGGCATGTGCTTCGCCAAGTCAACACGCCCCCTTGCCAAGCGATGAACTTCTACATGTCTCCAAAGACAACCGGTAGTTTTCCTGGCCGACCTAGAACCACAATCGTTGCCACTATCAGCGAAGACCTCAAGAATCTGGACAAGAAAACGACTTTCTGGCGAGTCAACGACATCAAGAAACTCGAGAACCTCAGTGACCTCCAGAAACTCCGAAACGTTGCTATCGTCAGAGAAAATTGGAAACTCCTTTCTAATCATGTTGCTGCGGCTGCCAAAACAGGAAACTTGTTACCGAGTTACTTGTGAAATTGGCGTTTACTACTACTACTACAGTTTTAACCTTAAATTTTTGCACGGGATGACGTTCAACCATTGGTAGCCAAATCTATCTTGGAACGCGTTGAATCTTTTTACTTCCCTAAACAGACCGGAAAACTAACTGGCTAGGTCTAGACGGTGAAAAACGAGTAGGATTAAGGTAACTGACGCCTGCCAGACGTCAATAGGTGCTTTTTTGTGCCAGTCGGTCATATTTGGAAGTTTGACCTTGAGAGAAGCAAAAAAAACACTTGATTTTGGAGTGAAATTTAATTTTTCAAAATTTCGAATGGAACCTGTCATGCACGATTTTCTCGCGAGAACTGAAAATCAGAAAAAGAAGTTAGAACATTCAGAACAATTGAGTCGAAAACGCGGGAAAGTCGCAAGAAAAAGCAGTCGGAAATTGCTATTCGCAATTTCCATCACTATAATAATCGAGAGTAGAGCTGTCCCATCTGTGACAGAGACGAGAGCATTCCCTCGAATTGGATCATAACGACTGGAGTATTATTCGGAACTGGACTAGAGTGAACCTTCGGTTGAAAGGTGGACAGCTAGAGTGTCCCAATGGTTCACGAGAACTTACAGTCTAGAGAAGAAACTTATTCTTATTATTAAAACTGACTAACATTAAACTCATTTTAGTTACTTTATTAATTCTTGAGTTGCTTACCGACTTATTTACTTCCTGGTTCTTGAGCGTGCTATAATGTGAGTACTTAATTTAAATTCCTAGAGTGTGTTTTATAATTGTGATGTTGAGGTAAGGCGAGTTTTAGGTTGATCCATCTGAAATGGATCAAAGTTACACTGTCTAATAAAAAGTAACTTAACGGATTGTTCCAACCCGGTTTTTAACGGCGTTCATGTATTTTGGGTATCTAGAGACCTAAGTATGGGGACGTTTCTAATTCTAGAGTGGGGGGATATTTTAGTAGTAGCCTTTAAGCTGTAACGGGTCGTAGTCTCATGTCACAAGCGAACCGAACTGGCTCCGACCGTTCTTGAGGTAGAAAAACACAAGAGATAGTGTCCCTGACCCTTGAGCCAGTGGTTATAGGGCCTATTTTTCTTAAGCCTCATGTGTGACTGCAGTAGACGAATGTTACATAGTGTTTTTATGGCGCTCCTGGGTGTTTACGACATCAAGACTACGGAGTCGAACCCACTTGAGACAGCTTCGGGCTGAATGCCCATTCTAGAGTACCGGCGGTACGGTTCGAGAGGAACGTGCAAACCTTCCGGTTGTACCGTGATAGCTTTTTAAGAAAACTCGAGAAAATTTCCTGGTACGTTCTCCGAACGAGGCTTAGCTAACCGAGTAAAGGGGGGCAACTAGGGGGACAAAAACACGAGCAAAAAGACAAAAAGCAAAACAAAAACCAAAAAAGAATAGAAAAAGGAACAAAAACCATAAAACGAAAAAAGACAGTGACTTTGACACCAGATTAGTTGGATCAAACCTTTATATTAATTAAATAGTATACCCATACTGTTTTACAAGTTCGATCGTTTCGATCAACCTAGCAATTTAAACCAGTAAACTGAATAAAGTGCCCGAAGTGGGGCGTCGTCAAGGGTTTTCAGATAGCTTGGAACTACGCTCCGTCACTGTGTAGTATTTGGGCGAATGTTACACTAGTTCTAGCGTCTCTAACCATGGCTATGAGTTTAGCTATCTCCCCATATGCCAGAGTGGGATAAAGTTGCTGAGTTGACCCAACAATTTCCCTGACATTTTAATTCAATTCAATTATTTTAACTTATTCTTTTCATTCTTTTACCTACTGTTAACATTCATTTACAGATCTAGAATTAGCATTACAACGTTTTGTTGTAGCGCAGTCAAATGAATCGAGCGTGCGTGGGGAATGCCTACCCTTCCTTTTGATCTAACTACACAGTCGAATAAACGCATCAACCTTGAAAAAGTCTTCAGATGCGAAGAAGAGAGGTGGATAAAAAATTGCGCTACTTCATATAGCCCGCCCTAAGGGAAAACGGCAAAGGTGTCTTGATTCAGAAAAACACCAGTTTCTTTATTTTGCTATTTCTTGGAAAGCGTTCTGAGACTTCGTGAACACGGTTTTTTGTAGATCTTAAAATATGACCGGTGAAAGATAAACTTCAAGCTAGGAAATACAAAAAAAGACCGGGAACTTTTTGAAAAATTTGGAGGTGCTTTTGAAAAATTTTGAATTACGAGTTTGCTACATCAGGGAAAGTGGAACTAGTTTAAAACTAGTTTTTATAACCTATTATGTTCTTGGTAAAACTATCTCTATAAAGTATTTCTTACTAACCAATCATGATCCATAACTAACACTGACATTTATTTGTAATGCTGAAACTACATGTAGTTTCAGCACCAGAACAATTTGAATAAATTTTAGGAGACAGTTGTTCTCCTTTGGAACAAGTTCCAGAAACCTAACTAGCAAATACCAGCATATACTAGATCTATTGAGACTAGGAGATTTAAGAGTAAGATTAAGGTTGGTATTAGACTAAGAAGTTGCACGAATCTATCCGGCCGAGAGTAAGATAGCGTGAAAAACAGACGGCGTACCTTATCTGAAATTACTCTATGAGAAAGCTAACTCTGGCTTCAACTCAAATTGTTTTCAATCAAAGCAGATAAAACCGGCTTAATATGTGACTGACTGGGCCATTTTGTTCTCATTGGACCCAGTTTCGAGTTTTTTTAATTAAAAACTTAGTTTCACTGCGTGTGTTAGAGAGGCCGGCGTATAATTAGGAGTCGATGAACCCAGTTCAGATCCTTATATAGGTCCAGGCAACTTTTTTTCTCTGTTTTTAAGGAAAATTCTTAAATTTTTTCAGGCTCGAAATTATTTTTTTTTGCTGTTTGGTTTTTGATTTTTTTTATAAGTTCGTTTCATTTCTTCTGGTCAAAGAAAGGCAAACTTCAATATCGAACAGCAAAATTGTAAAAGTCACGAAAAAGGTGATCGACTTCTAATTTTGAAAATGGAAATTAATGATCAGATTTACCAGCGAAATCTATCTATCTGTACTATATTTAAATGCGAGTGACAGCTATCTCCCATGTTTAAGCATAAAACTTTTGCAAGTTTAACGAAAGAATTTTTTCACGTTTAAGCTATATCATATTTTGCAATGCTTAAGAAATATTTTCAATTAGTTTTCCGCAAGGTCAATAATTTTTCAGTAATTTTTTTTCGAGGCCAATTTGAGTCTGTCTGTCTGTATACCTGCTTTTTCATTTATTTGATTATGTCTGTCCACCCGTCTCCTAACTGTTTAACTTTCAATTGCGGTTCGACGATTCAGCTCAATTTAGTATTACTGTCATCCTTCGATCCTTCTTTTCGATCCTTCTTTTTCGATCCTTCTTTTTCAATCTTGTTTTTCTATTTCTTTTTCTGTCTTTTTTTGGATCCTTCTTTTTCTATCCTTCTTTTCGATCTTTTTTTAAATATTTTTTTGATTCTTTTGCTTAAATTTCTTCAATTTTTTTTCGATTTCTTTTTTAATCCTTCTTTTCGATCTTTTTCAAATTTTTTCTAATATCTTTTTCTAAATTAAAACTTAAATTTTCTAAATTAAAACTTAAATTTTCAAAAAACTTGATGTAATTTTTGTTTTCAAAATTTGAAATGCCTCACCCTTTAGTTGGGTACTGTCAGGGTACTCTCATGAGTTGTGAATCTTTTCTCCAAATATGACTGCTCAAGTCGTTGTAGTTTTCGAGATATGACGTTTTTTTGTGATTTTCAAAAAAAAATTTCAGAAATACAACGAATGTTTTTTCTTTAAAATTTGACTTTCCTATCCCTGTAGTTGGGGGTTATCCGAGTACTTTTAGGGTTCCGAACCTCGCCCCCAATAATGACTGCTCAAATCTTTGTAGTTTTCGAGATATTCTTTTATTCGAAATTCAAAAGTTGGAAATTTTTGAAAAAACAAATAGTTTTTTTTCAGTTTCCGTGCGTTCATAACTGTTTTCCAGCTGTCAGTTGGCTATGTTAAAATACTGTCGAGCGGATCAGTCCTTATTTCGGAGATTTTCTATCTTAGTAGAAAAATGTCGAACTGTTTGGCCCACAAGTGTATAGTTACATCCCCAAGATGAAGTTTTGTACGCCATTTGATTATTAGGCAAGTGTTCAGCTGAGAACATGCTTTGAGCTGAAAGGTGTGGCCTTTTTCATTCCCGTACACATTTTGCAAGTATCTGAAAATAGATTTTCCGGCAAATGCTGTAGCTTTTGGTTGTTCTGACGCTGCTTATTTTCTGACGCTTGAGCATCACTACTTCGCCTCTTGTTATATCCATTCATTTTAGTTTCGACAATGGGCCGGAGCTCAAAGGATAAGAGAGATATTTACTATCGAAATGCCAAGGAAGAAGGATGGAGAGCTCGCTCGGCATATAAATTGCTGCAGCTCGACGAAACGTTTCATTTTTTTGAAGGAGTTCATAATGCAGTTGATTTATGCGCTGCACCTGGGAGCTGGAGTCAAGTTCTAAGTAGCAAATTGGAAGCAAGCGTAAGTGCTGAGTTTTGGGGTCTTAGCCGTCATGAAAGTCTAGTAAGAAAAAGAAACACTTTGATAGCGCCTCCTCACTGTGATATTAGTATGTTTGATATTTTGCTGGAGGGCTATAATGGGGACAACCCTATTTTGCATACATGTAAAGAGACTACAAGCGCTCGACGGGGAGTTTTAACTACTCGGAAAAGTATGTCAAATTTATGTCATGTTTGAAAACCGATTGGTTCAATTGGAATGTAGCAATTTTCCACGCCAAATCTTGTCGAAACTCGAATCTGTTGCTTTAAAACACCACAAGAGCGTGAAAACTATGAAATGTGAACAACGATTTCTCGAAGGGTAAGAAAATTACTTAATTTCGAGAGGGCGTGAGACTCCTAATGTTTAGGTGGAACATTAAAACCCAGAACCTCGAAACATTTTTTTGTTTGGTGTTTTTTTTTGCTGCATAGAATGACCAATTTATTGGCAACTGTAGCTGCTTTTTTGGGTGCTAGTGTTTCTAAAATTTCAAGCGATCGTGGCGAGGACATGCCTCCTAATCTCCAAGTCTGATCATCGATTCCGGCTCAAGTTTTTTTTATTCAAGGCTTATTTTTACCTTTTACTTTCCTTATTTCTTTTTGTTGTATTTAGAGCAACTTTCTGTCGTTTTCTCGATTTTGTTTGCGTATTGCAGCTTATCATCTGTGTAAAAACAGGTGTACTATATTTTATTACACTTGCGATTAGCAAGGGTGATGCAACTGGGTACTAAAGTTTATGTTCCCGTTAACAACTTTGTTCTTGATTACGCACTTGGAAATATTAACCCTGTGCATCTGGCGTAGAAGTTGCTTACCTGCATACGACGACAAATGGCTGTGGTTCGAATCAGACTGGGACGTGTTTTTTGCAAGTTAGACGTTTGCTCTTTTTTGGACTATTGTCTGTCCGTTTTTTTGTCGGCCTAATTCCTGTAGCCAGATTTTCATACCTTTTTCTAATTTTCTTATTGTCTTTTCTAAAGAACAGTTGGTGAAGGTAATCGAGTTGCAAGATTTTTTGACGAGTTTTAGTTTCAATTTTTATTTTGAAATTTACTGATTTTTTTGTAATTTTTGTTGAAAAGTTTTCAATGCTTGCGATTATTATGCTCACGATTAGCACGACTTAATGATTTGGAACATATTTTTTGCCAACAATTTGTCCAACGGAATCATAAAATCATTTTCCCAAATCTGCACTTTCGTCAACCAACAGACATATTTTGACCATTTCTGTATATCAGATTCCCGTTCTATGCAATATTTATTCTGTTTACCAACTCCGGCTTGGAATAATTTCCATTTTTTGTTTTTTTTTGTTTGCAGGGCTTTTCGTTTCTCAGTATATACCTGACGGACTTAGAGGCCACATATTATGCCGTTGGATTGGAGAACAAGTTTCCAATGCGTTTGAGTCTTTTTGAAGTTTTGTTTTGATGCTAATTTTTTTAATCCATTTTCTTATTCAAGACAATTTGAGACAAATAAATGAAAAGTTTGGTAGATCTGGTTTTTGTCGAAAAAAACTCGACTTAGCGGCTTTCGTCGCCAATTATATCTGCATGTTTGACATGCTATGTTTGTGTTGTATTGCAACTGGGGGGAATCTCTGCTCCGCCACTGTGTTGAATAGTTAATCGAGCGTTCTGTTTCATCCGTTGGAAGTTTTCGGATTTTTTTGTTCTTTATGATCTCATTTAAATTTCTCTGTCGGCTCGGTTAATAAATAATTATAAGGTGCTGTTATTAAAAGAAATTATCTGAAAATATAGTTTCAGTCGATTGTTGTGTTTTTAAGGAAAATGTTTCCATTTCTTCATGACTGATTTCTGCACCTTGTTCGATTTGTCAAATGACTCTTTGTGAATCTACCGAATTTTGAGAAGGGGTGCTTATTCTTAAGCTGGCTCGTAAGAAATTGAGCCAAGGGATTGATTTTAAATGAAGAGCTTGATGTATTTAATGCCTTATAGCAACAGCAGAGATAGTAATTGTAATTAACTAAAATGATGTTTTGAGCAGGATGGTAAAATCATCAGTGTTGACTTACAGTCGATGGCTCACATACCCGGAGTAATGCAGTTACAAGGAGACATAACAAAAGAGACAACTGCGAACAAGGTTAAATGCTTACGCTTGCGATTAGCAAGCCTTATCAATTCGGAATATAGGCTTTTTTCGGGCTAACAACAAGTTAAACAAAATCAGTTGAATCACTTATGATGCTGCTATGCTGCTGACATGCTCAACTTCATGAATGTTCAAATTGAACTGAGTGGGTACTAGTTACTACTGGTATTTGCTATAGCTAGAACTCCAACCATTATGTGTATAATTAAACAGTTTCGATACTAAGTTTCTGCTAATGAGTTTTTGGCTTCATAGTTGTCGACTCAACCTCTGTCGGTTTAGTTTCCAAATTCTGAAGTTCACTCTACACATTTTACTCCTCTAAATGTCCGGCAGTACTTTTGATATCGATAAGGCTCTGTCACCAATTTGTGAATGCCCATAGTCAACCCCACTAGGACTTCTTTGAAAAATTTAAAGAAATTGTAGCTCAAAAAATATAATTTTTTTTTAGTTTTTCCATTTCCAGCGTCAATTGGAACTTTAGTCGAAGTTCTGATAATTTAACGTTATTGTAACGTTGTTTGAAGCTTTGAAGCGTCATGTTGTTTTAATCGTTTAATTTTTTGTATCGCAAGTGGTGCGAAGGTCAGCTTCGCTTCTGTGTACAAGATACAAACTGGAATCTTGTCAGATATATCTTACTTTTTATGCCCTAATATCTGCGCAAGTAAATGTTTTTATTATATAACCAGTTTAATTTTTCCAGCCTAAATTGCATAAATTAGTTCACAGCAAAATTGGTGCTCAATTTGAATATCTGCGTACTGCGCATGTTTTATTCGCCTTTTATTGGCTGGTGTTGGGAACAATGCTTCAAAGCGAGGGCATAATGCTTAATGTGACATGTGCACCCCAAGGTAATCCTGATGATGGGCCATTCGAATCCAGAAAGCGATCAGTTTTCATTTTCAAAAGTTTATTTGCATATTTTGAAATTTAAGCGTTTGCTTGTGTTTGCAAGGTGCAGTTTCTCCTCTCAGTCCAGCCTCACGGCTACTGATGATGCTTCTGAACGATGACTTAACCTACGCCACTCTTAGGAAGTTAGGATCCTCCAATAAACCTCAAATAAGAGAAACGGTTATCCATATCGTGAAACTCTGGTTGCTCTATATTTAATTCATTACCCGCAGCTCAATAATGCAGTGGTCTTGTAATCAGAATCAACACTCTAAAATACAAAAAATGAGAATCCAAATGTTACGGAATAACTTCATAAAGTAAAGCTTTTAACAAAATCGGACAGCGTTTTAAATTTTTGAAATTTTCTGACCTTCAAATTTGAACTACATGGAAATACTTCTTTGAAGTTTCGCGTTTGCCTTTTCGTCGGCGTTTTACGTGTTTTTTTTTGCTCTGAAAAGTTACTTGCCAATTCGTTGTTGAATCAAAAAGTTTTTTCAATTGTACTCTTGAAATAAGGCATAAATGAAATTCTTTGAAAAAGCGCAATCATTTTGCATTGCTTTTTTGTCAGTTCAACAGTTTTGAAAATTTGATTGCAATTTTAACGCCATTTCACTGTCTCAAGGTCAGAATTTTTTCTAAAATTTACGACGCCCGATAATTTGTTAAATGCTATATAGCTTTTAACAAATTTATCGGACGACCATTCAAATTTCTGAAATAAATCTGACCTTCAAGTTTGAACTAAATCGTAATGCTTCTTCGAAGTTTTGCGTTTGCCTTTTTTCGGCGTTTTATAATTTTTGTTGCTCTGAAAAATTGCATGGCAAATCGTTGTCGAATGACAAAGTTTTTTCAATTTGCTCTTTAAACAAGGCAAAAATGAAATTCTTCGAAAAGTGCAGTCTTTTTGCATTGCTCTTTTGTGAGTTCATATGCAGTTCTGAAAAATCGATTGCAGTCTCAAGGTCAGAATTATTTCAAAAATGTAAAACGGTGTCCAATAAATTTGTCGAAAGCTATAACGGCCAAATGTCGAAATGTTTTTCAGTCTAAATTCGCAATGCCAACTCTGTTAAAGACAAAGGTTGACAGTCTAAATTTTTATCACCAAAATTTTGAAAATGCTTCGAAAAACGTCGCATCGAAAACGAAAAATTTAAATAGCTGAGTACTTTTTGTCAAGATTACACGTCTATAACATCGTGATTTAATAGCATACATAACAAGTAACTGTGCGAAAATCAGAAATATTACTGAAAACTTTGACTCTTTTTCCTTTTACCCCACCTCTCACGAGCATCAATTTTGTGGTGTAGCGAGTGGTTTTACGAGGTTGGTTATGAAGACCAAATATGCTTGCATGACCTAGTTATTCTGCATGTCAATTTTCAAAACAACGGACTATGTGATGAACGTATTCACTTATTACACAAGGCAAAGCTTGTGTGATAGTATGACCTCTAATTTTTTCCACCTTAGTCGCAAATTTTGTTGGGACGCAAATATTGCTGTGACAAAATGTGTTCATTTTGAAAGTGTTCATTTTGATCAATAACCAGCTATTAAGACAGCCAATGCTAAGGATATTAACACAGACTAATTATATTACAAATAGCACTTGAGCTTCAAGGTATCATGGATCTGTAGCGTAGAGGTAGGGAAGGAGACCCGCAACAAAATAAGAGGGTTCGTCTCTGGACAGAGTCGGATGTTTTTAATGAACTTTTTCGTATACTGCTTAAAATGCATCCGCTCTATAAATTGAGGCATGTTAGTTGGTAAATTTCTTTTTTTTTCAAATTGACTGGTACTGCTAATGCGTCATAATTGGCTTGCGTCGCTTAGCAATTTTGTGGGTAGACTCATAATTGGCATGCCGCACTTAAGAATTTTTGTAGACTCAAAGATTTAATGATTCAGTTTTTCTCAGTGGCATTATCGGTCATATTTTTGCTTGTATATGCGAAGTGCAACTTGGCCTCTGTGTTTGATGATTGTTTTCTCATTTTTCTTCTTGTTAACTATCCTGCTAAATCCGATATTAGTGGTTTAATTGAAGCCACAGGTTGTTGAAAGCCTAACCTTATTTGGCATCGACCAGTTTTTTATAGCAATAAAGTTATGACCTTCAAAAAAGTCAGTTTTTTGAAATTTTGATCTTTCTTGGAAACTGGCCTATCTCAACTATCCTGCAATTTTTGTGGTTTAGGGTTCAATCGAGAAAACTGGTTGTGAGAAGTTTCTCTGCTTAAGAGGTCATGGCACTTTTTGCAGAAAAAAATTTTTGATTTCGGAAGTTTTGTAACTTTTGACTGTTTTTTAAAAAACTTTTTGACATTTCTTAAAAACTCTGAGAAATCTGAGTTGAAGGGTTCAATCGAGAGAAAATGTTGCGACAATTTTTCCTACAAAAGCGGCGACTCTTCAATTTTATGTAGCTCCACAAAAATTTTCAGTTTTCTCAATTTAGTAGAAAAAATAACTAAGGTTTTGGGCAAAGTCCAATTTTCGAAATTAACCAGTTCATCCCGCATCGATATGAAAAATTCAAAAAATATCAAGTACGTACCTCTAGCTTTAGCTGGCCGCTAGTTAAAGTTGATCGAGATATAGGAAAATTTTGGTTCACTTAATTAATTTCACTATTTTTCACTATCAATCACTTTGCAACATTTTTTCGACGTCCTTTGTTTTTTTATGTTTGTGTTGTAATGCAATAAGGTGCGAAGCTCCGCTCCGTTTTTCTATTGAAATCTTTTTCAGTTTTTTGAAACTCGAATAATGAGCAGATTAATGGGAGATTTCGATGAAAGAACTAAAATGATGTTATCCAACAGAAATTCAAAAATCAAATCGAAACATTTGGGGGGTATTATATCAATATTTTTAAAGTGGGTTTATTGCTAGCTAAGAGTGTATGAGCTACCTCAGGGTGATTGATAGTTGTTAGTGAATACTATTGCTGCGTAGCGTTGATAAATTATTGGAGGCTAGTGTTTTCAAATCTCAAGCGCACATTGTTGAGATGGGAGGACGTTAGACTCGTAATCTCCATGTCGGAGGTTTAGTTCCGCGAAATGTGTTGAATTTTCCAAAGCTTAAGTTAGCCTTTTTCGTTTGGAGCTACTTTGTGCCGCTTTCTCGCTTGTGTGCAGCTTCGCCTCGATTTTTACGCTTGTTGATTATGTTTGCTCAATGTAGCTGTGCGTCGTTAATCAAATGTGTTTTTTACTGGCTCAGCGTGGCGTTTTATTTTATTTCCCGATCCACACAATTGGACGCATCAATTTCAATCACCGGAGTAGTACAATCATATATTAAAGCTTAATTTTCTTCCTGTTCTATTTCAGGTTACAAAAGGTTAATTATCTTTACAAAAGGTTTAGTTTAGAAAAGGTTAGTTTTCTTTCTTTTCTATTTAAGGTTACTAAAGATTAATTACAAAAGGTACAAAATAGCCGATAGTATGAAAAATCAATGTTGAAGTATATTGATCGTATAAGCAATAGTAAAAAGGTCGGAAAAAGGAGTAATATCTACAGCTGAATGTCCATTCTTTTGCAAAACATTCGCTCAGTAACGCCAAATCATGAATGCGTTCTTGATTTTAAAATTAATAAGCCGCAAATCATAGCTCTTACTCAAACATGGCAGGTTTCCAATCTGTAGAAACAGTTAATAGGAACAGACGCGGTGGAGGTGTTCCTTTTTGCGTAAGCGAAGGTATTTCATTTAATAAAACTTAAGAACTGACTTCAGACGAAATGCAAATTTTGATCATTTATGCGAAAAAAGCGGAGAAAAGTATTCTAACTGTTGTCTATAAAGTTGCTCAAATGAACAATTGAAAATTTCTTGATCGATTACAAGCTTATTTACTTGAGTTGAAAATGCAGCCTGGAGATATGCACACTATATATGGATACATGAATGTTGATGTGTCAAAGTCGACAAGTGACTCTATAAATCTTTAAAACAGCCTACTTTTGTTTGAGTTAATTTTATTGAAAAGTACTCGAATAACGAAAAGCAGCGAGTCAACAATATATGTGTTTTTCATCAATTTTTTCCGATAGTCATGGTCAAACACAATTCTATATCGGATCACAAGGCGGTAAAAATTAAAGCATCATTTCAATTGAAGACAAAACTTAGCTTAAAAAACAAATTTTTGAATTTTGGGATAACTGGAACGTTTCGGATAACCATGAGATTTGCTCAAGTTCAGTTTTGCGCGCTCGCAGACCACTGAAAAAAATCAAGTCGAAAAAGGACATTGAAGATGTGAATGATTGCTTTTCACAGCTCCTAATACCTATCCAATCTACTTGTGAAAAGTTCATTCCTAAGCTCCCAATCAATAAAAATAGGACAAACTGAACAACAGCTAACAAAAAAATGAGAGTAATGAAAAGAATTTTTACAAAAAATACTGCAACATTTGAAGTTATTGTAGCTTGATAATTTTCAGGAACAATGAAAAAAGTTGAAAAGCCTGTCGAAAATCAAAAAAGTTTTTATTTGAGAGAAGACTGGAAAGCAATAGCCATAAATGTTCCAAAAATTTTTTCTGTAAAGTCATAGGTGAGATAAGAAAAAAGAGAGAACAAGTGAGATCAAAGCACAGCATTCCGAGTGCAGAAGAATTTAACTTTTTTTCTACTGAAATTGCTCAGAAGCTAGTCGAAAGTAGTACATTACCACAAAATCTAAAAAATGTTGTAGAGAATGAAAAAACATTGTTTTTTGGAAGCATTTGACCCCAACAAGTTTATGAAGCAATCAGGAACCTGAAGAAAAATAAGGGACTTGATACATACAACCAAAGTAACAACCCAATCAAAAAAAAATTAGGACGCTCATATGTGAGCTACTGAGTTGCCTTTTTAATCAATGTTTGGAGTTATCATATTATCCTTCAATTTTTCTGTTGGTTCAAGTTCAAGCATTTCTTAAAAATGGGACAGTGTCAGATTGTAGTAACATCATACCTATATCTATTTTACCAGTTACGGGTAAGTTTTTGAAAAATTGATTAAGAATTGCTTAAGAAGATTTCTGAATGAATTTGTTGTAATAACAGCACTTCAGTACGGATTCCGAAATAAAAAAAGGACAGTTGATGCTATCTTCGAGCTCACTGAACAAATAGTGGAGAACTTAGAAGATAATGTTGGCTCAGTGTGTACGTTAATAGATCTTGCAAAAGCGTTCGATGCAGTTAATCACAAAATCTTACTGGAAAAATGCGAACTATATGGTTTACGAGGTAAAGTTGTATATTTTTTGAGGTCATACCTCGAAAATCGTATACAATAGGTTAGGTCTAACAATTCATTATCGGAAACCTAAACAATCTACAATGATGTGCCATAAGGTTCAGTCCTGGGTCTTTTGTTGTATATAAATGATTTGCCAAACTTCCGTCGGCGTAATAAAGTTGTACTTTTTTGCTGATGATTGCGCATTGTTAACAGCAACCAACACAGGTTATCAGCAGAAGGTGTACTCTGTTACAAGCAATTTTGATAGTTGGTTTTGGTGAATAAGCTTCCCATAAAAAAGGATAAAACAGCCACCTTAGAATTTAACCGGAAGAAATTTTCTAACAATAGATCCCATAAGTACTTAGGTTTAGCAATTATTGGAAAATTAAATTTCATAACTCACATATATAGTTTGAAAAAAGCAGCCTAATCTTTATCGATGATCTATCAACTCAGATATTATTTTAACACATCTACACTGCTCAAGATATACAAAACGTATATTCAACCAATTTATCAATATAATGTACTGATCTGTCGCATAGCTAATAAGACGGACTTAAAAAAGACAGGAAAGACTCCTGTAGAAGATTTATTTCAAAATTAAAACTGGAAAAGTCTGAGGCATCTTCGGGACAAACAAACTCTTTTTCGTTCGAGAGTTACATGCATATGAACTTTTTAATCTCAAGGTTAAAATTTTCCGACGATTTCGTTGAAATAAAAAACATCATGAAAACACAAGGGAATAAGATATAACATATTAAGTATGTTATGGTAATTTTCCATCCCTTTGTTACAAAGATTTTTTGGTCATCTTATTTTGATTGTTAAATAAAGAAGATTTTTTCTAGTCTTTTGATTTTTGAAGAAGTTTTGCGGTCCATTTTTCTATATGATCTAAGTTTAGAAAAAGTAGGCGAATAGATTTTGCTCATGGAGATGCCACTCGACAGGCTGATGCCTTTAAGGTATTCTCCCAAGCCGAACTAAATTGCAAACGTACAATTTCATAGAATGTATGGTTTTTAGTTCTAAAATTATTATTGTTGTAAATTTTTTCCATTCGGATAGTGTTCCATCACATAAGTGGTACTCATTATTGAAGGTTCTAGAGGCCTTCGTGGTCATAGTATTTTTGCCTATTTTTTTTTTAGTTTTTTTTTAAATTTAATTGCATATTTTTTAGCACTGTATTTTGCATATTTTTTTGGCAATTCTTTCTTTCTTTTGTTGTTGATGCTTGATTTTTTTTCAATTATTTAATCTATGGAATCCGCTGCGAAATTTAAAAAAAATATTGATCGGTTTCTGGAAGTTGGCGTTTTGACGGCATATTTGAATGAGCTCAGTTTCTTTTCAAAAATGAAAGAACTGGTGTTCTATAAAAAGTATTCCACCTATTGGCAACAAAGGCAGGTGACTAAAAATGATGAGACACTCTCACTAATTGTGTGTGTTTTTGTGTGCAGGTGATCGAGTTGATGGATGGGAAGAAGGCGGAGCTGGTGGTGTGTGATGGGGCTCCAGATGTGACTGGACTGCACGATATGGACGAGTACATCCAGGCACAACTAGGTCCGTCACTCAACATACAATACACACTTGTGCTGTTCCTTCCGCAACCCTGTTTGCTTTCATCCTACTGATTGAGTTGTGACACTCTATTATCCCGCTTCCGAGTCACAGCACTTCCCTGCTGTTCATTTGATTTGACTTTCTCTACAACCTATCGTGGTACAATTAACTGCCGCTCAGCTGTGGGCGCGTTTGAGAGTAATTAGAATTAAGGTCGTTTCTGTAAATGGTTCTCAATTCCATTTCAATGGAGGTCTTCCTTTGTGGGTGCATCTAGTTGAATAACCTGATCATGTTGTTTCCTATCCTGACAGGCGAACATTGCAGTGCTTCCTCTCAACTGATTGTGGCGTTATGCGTCTAATCAAATGAGTCGCATATATCTGGTTTGCAGTGATTACAATCGCGTGTAATAACTGATTTCCTTTGACGGCTGTTCGCTTGGATCAGCTGCACAAAACGTTTTTTGTTGTTGTTTTTAGCCGTTGTTTGGGACGCGTCTGGCATGCTCTCGCCAAATTCGAGGAACGTTGCGACCTCCGTCGGCCGAAGCCACAAGTCTATAGGGGTCAAGTTTGTTCTGTTTTGGGGACAGTTCAAGAAAGGTAGCGCAGTTTGGAGAGCAACGCAGAAGGGACAGTTTGGAGGGACATTTGGGTCTATACTATTCAATAAGTATTTAAGTAAGCTGTATCCTGATCTTATTTGGGCGAGGGTGCGCCTAAACGAGCGTGGGAGGGTCTCTTCAGTTTTTGAAACTTCTTGGGGGTCTTAAGGGTAGAACTTTCGTCGGGAGGGCTTCGTCTATGGCTTTCTGCACTCGGTTTGTGTGTATGTTCTTTATAAGTGTTTTAAAATTGCTATTTTTGAATGCTTTAAGGTGGTTCAGTAAAAAATCCAGACTCGTTTGCTTTAAGTAAAATTTGTTCAAAAACCTCTTTAAAAGAGTTCAATATGTTCCCTCGTCGCTGACGGGGTGGTTGGAGGTGAGTATGGTAGAAATGGAGGGTACTAATTGGCAAGTAGGTCCTGAGGACGAATTGTGAGGCAAGGAGTTTATGGTTATTTTTGACGCTAAGTAATTTGCACTCTGAATGTAGGTGGTCAATTAGGCTCATCTTAGTACACCCAGTCACTATGTCACTATCCGCAGAGCTGCATTCTGTACTAGTTGCATTTTACTTATGGATGTATCACTCGCGGCGTGAGAACAAGCTGGACAGTCGTAGTCCTAGATTGGTCCGATAAAACTTTTGTAGGTAATATTTGAAGTCTCTTTCGACTGACCCCAATTTGAACCAGATAGCGTCTTCAAGACCGATATCCTGCGCATGGCTTTGCTTGCTGTGCGTTTGCAGTGTTCGGCAAAACTTAGTGAAGGATCAAAAAAGACACCAAGAATTTTCGTGTGCTTTAAGACCGGCCATTAGTCGTTCAGTGTGTTAAGATAATTACTTAAAATTTCAGAGGCATGTTTTATGTCGAGTGATTGGACGAAGGGGTGAAAATCATCGGCATATGCCTGAAAATTGACTTCTGGAGGGGAGTTAGCTGCATCCTGCTTAAAAAAAATAAAAAGTGTGGGCGAGAAAACAGAACCTTGGGCGACGCCTGTGCGTACGATCCTTGATGAAAACAAGGCGCCTCTTAATTGCGTTTTGGCTTGCCTGCCGCTCATATAAATTGCAATCCATTTAGCTAAACTATCTGGTACAGTGGTGACTTCAATAGTTTTCACTAATGTGCGATGGCAGACCATGTCAAAGGCATTGGATAGATCTAAGGTGGCTAGTATGGTTCTTTCAGGTGGTCGTTTTTGATTAAAACCATTGCTAATAAAAAGTTTGTGGAATGAATGACAGCCGTGCTGATTGTCAGCGTTAGGGAGATTCTTTGTAAGAGTAACATAGATAAAAATTTCTAAAATTTTTACTGCTGGTCTCAAAATCGAGACAGAGCGGTAAGAGTCCGATAGTTTAACGTCTTCGGTTGATTTTGGTAGTGGGACTACTTTTGAGTTCATCCATATTTGAGGTATCTGGTTATACAATAAGGACAAGTTGAAAGTAGGTGTTCAAAATTAATGGCAGTTGTTACCAGATGTTTCAGGCGTACGGTGCAAAACCCGTCTGGGCCCAACGCTTTTGACGGCTTAGCTGCTTTGATTGCCTCTTCTCTTTAACATGAGAAAAAAATAAATGGAACGCTAAGCATTAGTTTCAGAGTTTTTCTTTTGGTTTTCCTCTGCTGTTTGTTAGATTTGTGGGTTCTTAGTTTCGTGTATTGTATTTATTTAGCCTCTCAGAGTTTTTTTTGCCATTAAAAGAGATGGAGTTCCGGATTCGGTTCCATTAAAGGAGCGAACCACTTTCCAGAAGTTACTGGACGACGTGTGGTAATTAAACGTCCGGAGGAATTCTTGCCATTTCGGTTTTTCCGTTTTTTTTTTATCAAATCTTGGTTTAGTTTTTTAAAATGGGGTTTGAGTGGTTCTCTACTCTGATTTTATCGTGCTCTTGTGCGAGTATTTAAGTTTCGGCTGTTAAGGCAGGTGTTTAAAAACAATGGCGTCCTGCCGGAATATGGCGCCGGGCCGCCGTCAAAATTGTTTCTTAAAATTTTTTCCGCGATGTTAACGTCTTTCTTCAGTGAGCTCGTCCCAGTTGGCTTTGTTGAAGTTTCTGAAAGTCTTAGCCTTGAAAGAGATATCCTCTGTTAGAGGGAGACTTATTAAATAAAATAGATAGATGGTCTGACCCTAAAGTTAAAAGTGTTTTTCAATTTATAAAGAGTAAGAGGGAGGATGATGCTAAGGTTAAGTCTGGAGTTGAGGAGCTTGAGTTTCCGAACGGTAGAATAGTTTGAGTTTGGTTGTTTAGAGGGGTGAAGTCTGAGTCAGTAATTTCTGCACCTAAAGAGGTGCCTCTGTTTTCCTCCGCTATGTTTGAGTATCAGGAGAGTGGGCATTTGCATTTCCCATAACAATTGCATTGTCTTGCACGAGCAACTGCGTAATGAAAGTTTTATAATTCTGTGCGCCCAAACACGGGAGGGGCTTTCGGTACCATTTGCGGCGACTGGTCGCGCGTGGGGTCCACGAAGGCGGCACCATTGGACCGTGCGCTTTTTGCTGCTCTGATAGTGGCTTTGTTTAATAAATTGCGCGAAACCAACTATCCACTCGAATCTGCCCGCACATAAAGTGCCACACGGAACTAACTCTAGTGGGCTAACTAGTGGTTACTGTTGCTACACTCTTCTAATGAGTTTACCCTGGAATGTGGATATCGAATTCATTTTCAATTTTTTGTCAAGTACCTTCCGTCCGTTTTGACGAAAACTTAGAGGAATTCCTTGCGCTAAGTCAAATCTGTATTTTTTGTCTCACTGATATAGGTCTGTCGTTGAAGTGTTTTTACGAGTCGTAGTTAAAAGCTGCCGATTAAAGATGACAGCCTGGTTGAATTATTTTAGCAAAACTAACTCATAGTTTTTTTCTGACTGATCATATAATCAATCAAATCCTCCGCAAAAGACACTCCCAGTTGCTTAAGATCTGATTGCGGCTTTCGACACAGTGACTCACTTGTTGCTCATCTTTTTCAATATTTTCATGTAACCACTTCCTCTTCAATTCAAAACCAAAATTCAACTGAAATGGCAGCCAAATTATCCCTAGTCAAATTCAATCTACTTTGAAATGAACGTAGTTCACACTCTTATATACGTCTTGGTGAGTATTTTTAGGTTTTTTTTCAGGAAAAAGCTTAAAATTTGTTCATGCTCAATTTTGATTTTTCGCGGTTTGACTTGTGATTTTTTTTTGAGTTCAGTGCTTTTCCATTGTTAAAAGGAAGGCAAACTCCACTATCGAACTGCAAAATTGTAAAGTGATCGACTTCTAATTTCGAAATTGAAAATTAATAATCAGATTTCCCAGCGCAATAAAAGTTTTGCTTATTGATCCAGTTTTCTCAAATTGGGTTAATTTTTTTTTAAATGTTCATCATAAATTGTTCTTACAAATTCAGAGAGCTTCAATGCCATCTATTTTTTTCTTCGACTTTTGTTGAAGGTTTGTGAAAAAACAAGTCAGTTTTTTTTCAGTTTCCTTGCTTTCATTACTCTTTACCAACTGTCAGTTGGCTGTTTCATTTTCAAATTTAAAAATATAAAGTGTCAATTAAAATAGTTCTAAAGTTTCGAGCTATAAGGCCATAAACGTTTTTCTTTTACGTTCGAAGTTTGAAATTCAAGACTAAAAGTTTTTAAAAGAAAGATTTAGTAGTTTTTTCCGACCTAGTGGCAGTCATTCTACTCACTTTTTACGTTTGAGTTGCATCGTAAGGGGTTCGAAGCTCTGCTTCACTTCTCTTGAATAATTTTTAAAAAGCTTATTCTTACTCTCGCGGCCTGTTGAACGAATTTCGAGAAGTCCTGAAAATTTTTGCCAGGGCGCTGAGCTCACATTAGTTTTCCTTGCTTTATGTAGTTTTGAGTTTTTTGTCCTTGAGAAAAATTCAACTAAAATTAGTTGATGATAAATGAAAGCAGCCGGCGACTGTTTTGTTTAGTTCTTGCTGCTCTCAATATAACTACCCACATCTTGAAGGAGGGGGGCACTTTCGTGGCTAAAGTGTTCCGTGGCAAAGACATCGACATTTTATGCAAGCAGTTGGAGCTCTACTTTGACAAGCTGTGTCTGGCGAAGCCACGCAGCAGTCGCACCAGTTCTCTGGAGGCGTTTGTGGTGTGCAATGGGTTCCACATGCCCCCCAACTGCAGACCCTCTCTGTTCAACCCCCTACTCAACCCAGACAGTTGTCTGCAGTGGGACAGTCTGACGGAGGAGGAGCGGGTGGTGCTGCCCTACGTGTCCTGTGGGGACTTGAGTGGCTTCGACTCTGATTGTAGCTACCCTCTCAACATGCAAGGACACGCCCCCTACCAGTACAGAGAGCCAGTGCAGCCGCCCATAAACCCGCCCTATGAACATGCAGTGAAGTTGAAGCGGGCTAATATGTTGCAGCAGCCATAGTACACAGAGGACGAGTACTTGATATTAATCAGTCAAGACTGATGGCCAATATCGATTTTCGAGTCGCGCATTGACTTGGAGATAGCGAAGCAAAGCAATGAATGAATCGAAAAAGTATCTATAGAATAACTGATTACTCTTTCAGATTCTTGTTCAACTGAGCCTCTAGTTTAGCGTTCTGTTGCTGTGTATGTATGAATTAGCATCAAAATATCATTAGAACTCAATCGTTAAATAAAATAAAATATTCATAAATTTCTGCTTTTTTCGCTAATTAAGAGATGGTAATAAAACATGGCTGCGTGATTTTTATGGTGGCCCCTGGGAAATATTAAGGCTGTTATCAGTTCTATCGACGATCATTTCGGGGATATGGGTTCCTGGGGCGAGCACCTTATCGTCGCATATCTCCACCTCTCTTTAACTTTTATCCCTGCTCTCCCTCTCGCAATGCTTCAAATATTAGCATATCTTTTTTGTATGGTGCTTTATGATGCGGTATCGAGGAGGAATGAGCGCCGCAAAAGAGATTCAAAAGGCAGCATTTCACAGCAAAGCAAACAGGCGCTCTGCCGCTGACGCATCATTACAAACAGTAGGAAAGGGAAGGGAAGGGAAGAAAAGGACTCTCTGCCTCCTCGGCTGAAGCTTCTCTACCAGAACAGCCTCCCATTCAACAGACTGGACAATTTGCCTCTTGTTAGCCAAAAGTACAAACTTGTCTTCTGTCTGTATAAAATGGAATTGAAACCAATGAAACGTGCAAATTCATTAATCGAGTATCCAAGATTTTAAATTGTCTGGGTTACTAAGAGGTGCAAACTGGAACAAAGATGTCAAATGTTCAGTCTGCTTTGCGCACTGTATGTGTGGGACTACTTCTGCGTTTTAATTAGTTGTACAAAGCAGCTTACTTTTTCTCCTCGCTTCCATCAATCCATACTTTATTCTGTATTCATTCATGGCTTACGTGCAATTTAGCTGCAGGCACGTAGCATGAATACGTATGTATGTTTAATGCGTGCAAGGTAAGCTCACGTAATTTCCCCTGTTCCACTATTTTACCATCCATGCCTCACACTGCTCCCCTTGGCACAGCAGCGAGAGAAGAGAAGTGAGGGAGAAAAAGATAGATGGATATACGTGGAAGGAATACTGTAGCTATGAATATATATCATACAGAATACATTGTTGTGTGTTGCGTGCGTTGTACGATGAGGTGCAAAAGAGAAAGATAAAATAGGGCAGAGTAGAATTGTATCTGCTGCTGCTGCTGCTATTTCCACTATCTTTCTCCTTCCTATCGCCCCCCTGTCGTCTCCACTGGCCCCCAACTTACACTCACAACAACAACAGAGCACAACACCCCACACGCCACGCCAAACAAGTTGCTGATCAGATCCCTGCCGACCATTCAAATGTTGTTGTCGAAATACACACTTAAATAGAAATCTGCCGAATCAATCTCACAATGTTAATGCTGCTCTCTCTCTCTCATTGCCTCTTTCCGATGCCTTATCTCCTTGTGAATAATTCCCACTAATCTCTTCGATTGCATTACCATGCGGAAGCCATTGTTTATTTCAAAGGAGCAGAACAAAAACAAAACTGCTCTATGATAGGCAATAAACAAAACAGCACACATGGTTGTCGTCTGCTGCTGCTGCTGCTGCTGCTGCTGCTGCTGAAGGACTCTTCTTGTTCTTCTTCTCGTTAGCCACCCACGCGATGATTGTATATTCTACCGAGCAGCAATAGACAGTTTCACATTTTATTATCCGACATCAAAAGCGATAATACTTCCTCAAAACGGTAAGTCTGAGCAAAATTGAATAAATTCATGGCAGAGTTGCAGGTAAGAGTGCCTCCTGTCTTCCTGTTTGCTTCCGTCTAGGACATATTAGCCTCATTTGAAGCGTCGTATCTGAGCTCAAAAATAAACAAATCTAGCAAGAACGTGTGTAAGTTATAGAGATCTTTTTTTCTAATTTTCTACATTATTTTCTACTAGATGTTCACTAAATGAAAGCGAAATGGCGCAAAAAATGTTTCTGATTTCAAGTTTCAAAATGGATTTTAAGGTTAACAATCACCAGTAAAAATACCTTTTGATCTAGTTTTCTCAAATTAGGTATCTAAAAAGTCCATTCATTTGTTTAAATAAATGCCAGTAGTCAGCGGCCAATTTTCTGTTATTTATTTTCTGCACGTGTAAGTGTTAATAAATGAAGTGATTTATCACTTATTTAGGTCATGTGTATTTTTTGAAGGAAACATTCAGTAAATTTGATCACACTCAAATTTGTTCTGTCGCAGTTTGAAAGTGGACTTCAATTTTCAGGTTTCGGCAGAATGATAAAATGATATGATCCAGTGTTGCAAAGTTTGGTCGGACAAATAATATTTTGGAAACTCAAAATGTTGCAACTTGTTTTTTTTTTGAAAATTTTTAGCATATTCTTAATGACAATTTTACTACAGCTGACCAAATTTTATTGATATTTAGCATATTTTGAATGGTATTTTTAATAAAGCTGACCAAATTTTAGAAAACAAGATCAATAAATATTTTTTTCATTCCATGGGTATCTGAACATAGATTCTACTTTTGAAACTACAGCTTATTTCTACTTTCGTAATTGGACTGCATAGATTACTTTTTAAAAAGTTTAACCGCTCCATTCCCTAGCGGTAAGTTCTGATAGTAAACAAAAAAATTATATACATTGACTATTTTCCAACTCTGTTGATATGTTTACGATGCTTTAGGCAACTTTTTGTTGGAGAACTTGTATACTTTACGTCAGGGGCGGATCTAGGATTTTCTCGAGGGGGCGGATTTTCAAAAAAATTTCGACCAAATTGATTTTCTGTTTTGACCCTGTTTTGGTCAAACTTTTTGCGCCACAGGCAAAATTCTGAAAAAACAGGCCAAAAAAAAGTATTTTTAGGCGTTTTTTTGAAAAATTTTGACCAGAAAGTCACCTTTCGTTGGCGCATGCTCCGCCCTAAAAATTAGTAAACGGCGCCTTTAGAAAAATTTTTGGGTCGGTTAACCAAAAATGGGTATTTCCAAAATACTACAAAGGGGGACCCTTTGGGTAGGCAGGGGGTCGAATCCCTGAGGGGGAAGCGTCCGTCCCGGCTTTACGTACAGTAAAGCATCTGAAAAAAGTTGGCAGTGACTTCACTTCGAAACTTACGGCAGTGTTGTATTTCCAAGCTTCTGTAGATCAATGAATCAAAAACTGTGTTTTTCTAGAATTCTTGATAATATTCAGTTGACAGTTTTTTTTTCAAAACACTCCAGATCCAGGGCTTCACATAACAAACAATGAATTTATCTTTTATTTTGTCCAGGGGCGGATCTAGGATTTTCTCGAGGGTGGGCGGATTTTCAAAAAGTTTTCGAAAATTTTGTCGATTTTTTTTAAGTCGACAAAATTGATTTTTCGAGCTCTCCCAAAGCACTGTTTTGTCCCTATTTTGGCCAAAGTTTCTGCGCCGCACGCAAAATTTTAATAAAAAAATAGGCCAAAAAAGGCGTTTTTAGGCACTTTTTGGAAAATTTTGACCGAAAGTTGCGTTTTTTCGGCGCGCGCTCCCCCCTCAAAATTAGTATATATTGGCGCCTTTAGAAAAATTTTAAGGTTGGTCGCCCAAAACTGGATTTCTTAAAAGTACCAAAGGGGGGACCCTTTGGGTCGGCAGGGGATCAAATCCCTGAGGAGAGGGGGGCGTCCGCCCCTGATTTTGTCTGATGTTCATTGTTCGGAAAACGGTCTGTGGATCACTTGTAATTTCAACCCGTGTTTCTAAAAAACGCATACTTTAAGCTTTCAAGTTCTTGCAGTTGTTCATGTTGAGACCTAACTGTGGCCTATGGCGGGTGTAAAAACAGCAGGAACAACAGCAAAAACTTGAACGCTTAAAGTATGAGATTTTTTGAAAACCTGTTGGTGATTCAAAGACCGTTTGCAAAAATGAAAATCATACTCAATAAAAGATAAATTCATTGTTTCGTATCTGAAGCCCTGAATCTAGAGTGTTTTGCAAAAATTTTCCCGCTGGAAGGATCCTACAAATGACTTCATATTCCTGTTGAGTAATAACTGGCATACGGATGTTTTTACATCCGCCATTTCGAACATCTCGAAGAAAGTTCGCATGTAATCAAGTTCAGCATCATAGTTTTAACTTTTCAAAAGCTGAGTTCAAAATTTTTTATGTTGAATCAGTGTTGTAACTGCTAGGTTGAATTTGGCATATTTAGTCAGCTTTTTGAAATAGGTTTCTCTGACTTTCAAATCAACTTTCATTCCATATTAAGCCAATGTTTATATTTTGGAAGCTGAACGTGTTCTCTCTCTAGGACAGTTTTTCTCGGCGACATTGAGTTAACAAAATTCAAAATGAAAGTTTTCGACTTTTCAAGGGCATTCTCATCATTATCACGTAGTTTTTCTTGAGTTCGACGGTAGAGTATTCTGTTTTTGTCATGGCTCGTTTGTAAAACTCATCTTCTGATTTTGATTATAGGGAAGTGTTTGAGAGACGATGAACGATTTGTCAGAATCTTATATAGGTCGTGGTGGTTTTTTTGTTTTTAGGAAAAGTCCTAAAGTTTGTTCAGGCTCAAATTTATTTTTCGGGGCAAGGAAAGGAAGGCAAACTCTACGATCGATCAGCGAAAGTTAAAAGGTCACGAAAACGTGATCGACCTTTGTTTCGAAAATGGAATTTAATTCATATAGACCCAGTTTTCTCAAATAAGATTTTTTTATTTCAAAAAAGTGCCAATCAAAAACTGTTCTAGAAATTCGAGCTTCAAGGGCATTATTTTTTCAAATTCAAAAGTTGAGATTTTTTCAAAAAAAAAAAATAACATGTCAGTTGTTTTCTGTTTAATTGCATTCATTGACTGTTTTCCAACTGTCTGTTGGCTATGTTTATAATCTTCGTGCAAAGGCCTGATAGCATCCATTTGCTCGCCGCCACGGAAATCTTCACCTAAAAAAAATCATATTACGAATTGTTATGTTATGTAGCTCTTGATTAGAAAGAGTTGATGCGGCCATTTTATGTTCTAAATGTTTTTTGTAGAGGCCTGAGAGCGGCCATATAAAATTAACTATATCCTTATCGTGTTCGTTTTGCTCTTTTTTTTCTGAAAATGAGAGAAAAAAAAACAGATATTCATATCTTATTTTTTTCTGAAAATGAGAATGAAATCAGATGGTGATCAGAGCGTCAGATTTTTAATTTAGAGTTGCAAGTTTTCACCTCACATCTGGTGATAACCTAATCCAAAGTAGGATTTGTCTTTTGTGCCAAGGATCTTTAAGATGCTCTGAGCCGATTTTTTAACCTTGCGGTAAGCAAGTTCATTGGGAGCGGGTACTAGACTTTTTTCCGGTACAGAATGGTCAATTTACTAGGAAATGTAAATTCCACGACTGCTGACACGCAGACTGCTGGCATGCTCAATTTCTTGAAAACGTAAATAAACTGCCATCTTTTAGGTTTTAGGCAGTAGTTAGTGGACGTTCGTTTCAAGTAATACCTTTTTTTAAATAAAATTCTTGAAAAAAGAACGTTTTTTTTATATTCTTGATTTTCGCACTAGTTTTTGTCGGCTCATTTTTCATCTTTTTACTTGCTTGCAAGCTGGCTGTTTATTTTATTTGGCACGTTTTTTCTGGGCAAAAGAAAAATTTGTTTAAAATTGAATTGTCGGACTTTCGTTTGTCTGCTCAAGTTTTGTCTGCCACGTTGCCAAAACATCACGGGGATTTTTCTTGCGCTGTAAGCAACTTTCATTGTAGTTTCAAGTGACAGTGTTGTTCATTCTAGTTTCAGGGGGACTTGAAAGATTTTAAAGTTACATATTTTTTCTTATAAAATCACATTTTTCTTCGGCTTAGCTGGTGACTACTCAAAGAATACCGGCTTGTTTGCTACATCACTGACTTTTCTTGAACTTGAAGCAATTTTCTTGAACTTGAAGCAAGAAACTACAATGAACAACACATACAATAGCAACTGCAATAAAAATTGCTTCAAGTTCAAGAAAAGTCAGTGATGTAGCAAACAAGCCGGAATTCTTTGAGCAGTCACCAGCTAAGCCGAAGAAAAATGTGCCTGCTCAAAGGTTGTCGGCTTTGTTTTCTCTTCGTAATTTTTGTTCCGTTGCTAGCTTGATATTGAAATGTCTGGCTTGTTTTTTCTAAAACTAAGTTCTCTCGGGAGATCGAGAAATTTTAATTTTGATAGACCTAGTTTTTTCTACTTTTTTTGCTTTTTTTTCGACTTCTTTAAATTTTAATTTTGATAGACCTATTTTTTTCACTTTTTTCTTTTTTTCGACTTTTTTGTTTTTTATGTTTGTGTCCCATGCTTGATTCATAATAATGTCGTCAATTTTTAAAATGTACTTTAAAGCTAAAAGTATTATAATTTCAAGTTCTATAACTAATGGTAACCTTGATGCTAGAAGAAATTCTATGAAATCCTCAAAATTTTCCATATTCTTCTGGCATTTGAAGTGTCTTCAGCCAATCATATGTTGCCGTATGTAGATTAAATCTAGTAATAATGGTATGATCTGGGCAAGAGTTCAGATCAGAGATCTTTTTATTGTGACATTTACGAAATCGACATACTAGAGCACTATTAATTTTGTCTTAAGCAGCTACATTTTCGAGCTCAACAGCCATCTACTTTAATAGGAAATAGGAGGCCTCGTACTGAATTTCTCCTTTCTCCCCCGCTTCATTCATTTTGGTGTCTGTTAAGCATTGGTTGCAAAGCTGTTTAGTCAGCAGATTCATCTCTTTAAATTTTAATGCTTCCTATGGAATCTTTTTCGAACTCGTTATAACGGTTGTTGGGGCTTTTTGGACCTTCTTGAGATTGCTCAGTTCTTCTTCTAACAAGCCGATTTGTGATTTCTTGTTGCGGATCGAGCCAATCTTTGTGTCCTTGTTGCCACACTAGCCCATTTTTATAAGTTCCCACCGTTCGGTGCAACTCGTACACGTTCATGTTGTCAGTGATGCTTACTTTAAACAAAATCCGCCTGTCCAGTTTACATTTTAGCGCGCTTCACGATTTGTTGATCCGAAATTTTCCTGTAATCTACTATCATGAGCTGGCTCATTAATATTTTTCTGTAGACAGCGGCTATCCAATAGTTTACTCAACTGGTCGAATCATGTCAAATATGGTTATAAATAATATGTTGATCACAGCAATTAGCTTAATTCAATCAGATGAAAATTAAAAGAATGAGAGGTAATAATGGGGCATAGGAAATTAGACGATAAGCAAATTAGACGGATGCTACAAAAACGAAATTAGACGGAATTTATTTTTTACAGATCTGGCATTTTAGACGAAAAAGCTATGAAAAGGAAAGGGCCAACAAAATTTTTTTATTAAAAGTCAAGTTTCACAAATACAAAAAGATCATAAAATGTCAATACCTATCAAAACAATTAGTCTAAATGAACAAAAAATGTCAAATCCGAATATTACAAAAGAGTTTTGAATTGAATAAATTATGCATGATTGACTTGTAAAACTTTTGGCTACCGAAATTTTATCTGTTGTCTGTCTACAAACAATTATATTTTTCTTGCGCAATTTGTCTGCAAACAATTTTAATCTCTCTCACTTTCGTCTATTTTCTCACAATTGCAGTTTTGCAAAATCGTCTATATTCCTTTTAAGTACCTCCGTCTAATTTGCTTATCGTCTAATTTCTCAACCCCCGGTAATAATAGCTAAATTAAGGTTAGAATTGTTGTTGTGAAGTAATGTTGATATTTTTGGGGATGATAGCCTATCTAGTTTCATTTTATGTTTTTGAAAGCCGAAAATCTCCAGATCAATTTTTCTCGAAAATTGAACCATTTTTAAGATTTTGCGTCGAAACAAAATCACGGCCGATCGGGCTGTATTATGATAACAAACTTCACTACGTATGAGCTTTCTGTGATTTTGGACCTAAATTTGGGCCAAAAAGTACTAGCGAATCCATAGTGTCTTACCTTTCCTTCGTGAAATTGTTGGAACAACAAAAATAACAATTTCGAAATTCAAAAAAAAGTTTTTATTTTTTTGTTTATATAAGTTTTTTTCTGACAGTAATAACTAAAAGAAATTTTTGATGTTAATTAGGAGTAGGAGGTGTTCTAAATTGCGTATAGTTTTTAATTCGTTTTATTTGCAACTATAACGGCTGATGGAACTAGCCTAACTGCTTGTGCAACAACCGACTGCTCTTATTGTTCCGACTTTCGATACGAAAGTAACGGAATATTTGTGCTCGGGGTGGGTTTTTTTTTCTTCAGACAAATTTCGACTTTTTAACTAGCCATTTTTGACGGAATTTTTTTATATCATTCAAAATGTATTGTTGTCCTGAGCTTAAATTTGAAAAGATATTTCACCTGTGATCATTTTTCAGAAAGTTATGAGGGTTTAAAGGTTGCCATTTTGACCAATTTGGGACAATTAACGCGCGATATACTCGAGCTATTAACGCGTAAGCGGAGATTTAATCCGTCTTAGAAATTGTTCCAAATTGGTTGAAAGAAGCTTATTTGCCATAATTGGTTTGTTTCAAGGAACGAAATCTATCCTTTTGTACTGTATATGGCGTGTGGGGGGATGATTTTCATAAAAAATTTTAAATTAAAAAAAAAATTTCATTTTTTTTATTTCAATTAATTTTTTAAAGTTATTACTGCTCCATAAACCTTAAAAGGTAGTCGGAACATTCAGGGCTTCGCCCTGATGCGAGCAGTCTTGTTACTCAATTTATTCTTTCGTGAATGCAGGAAGCGCAAATTGAATTCTCTTCTGTCAGTTTTATTTGAAGCGAGTTTTTGTGGATCTACTTTAATATTTAGAAAGAGATGAATGTATACTAGTGATCTCAAAGTTGTTTCTTAGGGCTTAGCCATCGTAATCTGTCTTATTTGAGGAGGATTCCTGTGTTGATCCTTTTTGCCTACCTTAAACCTTAATTAGCGAGTACTCTAATTTGCATTTCTGAGCTAATACCGGAATTACTTCATGATTCAAAATTTCGCGTGCTCTAGAAAAATTTGACCATATTTGCATTGCGTCTCACTGCAGTTGCCTACTGAAACAAAGAACTTGAAGGCTGGCTCATTTTAGGGTAAATTGGTCAGGGAAAGAGCCGGTCTTATAAAAATAGATTCTATTTTATGCAATTGGTCACTATTATCCCCCGTCAAATCACGGCGATCAAAGAGAAATAATCGCTATGAGATTGGCACAGATTGTCGGCTTCATAGATATGTAGAAAATATTCATGATTGAAGTGAACTCTAGTTTATTATTGTACAACCGGGAGGGCTTGCGGGAGATCCGTGGACTGGTTAACAGTGCAAGTACAGTGTGTTTAATGGGCTAAACGGGACTGTTTTGGGTGCACTAGAACGTGTTGTCTTGTGTTGTGTTGTGTTGTGAGGGATTAAACATCTATCAGAATTTATGTGGATTGACAACTGATACGAGAGTGTTTGGAGTTGTGTTGTGTGGTTATTGCTAATAAAGAGCGCATGGTCTTGTTGGTTGATCATGTTAATTATGCGGTCCAGAAATAATCAACTGCAGGTCCACTTAATCCCAACTGCAAACCCACACCACCACCGCCACCACTCAAATCTCACACCTGATCTGAACTGAACTACACTGCAACTGACTGAATTGAAGTTGCCTCACTACGAGCAAACCATGTGTGCACTCCACCCCTACCCTGCCCCTCCCCTCCCCACCCCGCATGTCCACAGTGACAGATTAGCACAACTAAGACATAGAAATGCCGTCATAGTGAGAATGATACAACAGAGAATGATGATCCACCCAAATTGCAGAGACATTTTACAAGTAGCAGAATATTTTTTTATCTACTCATACTGTCAATTGAATCATACATCAAAACAAGTTCTTTCTGAACTTTTCACTTTCATCATAGATTTGAAGACATATGAGTTAAAATTTATTCGGTTTCTGATTTGTATTTGCGAATAGCAACCAACTGTTCTGCTTGAACTCCTCTTTTCCTTTCGACCAAGATATTTTTTAAGTGCCGGTCGGCCTATCTGGCCATTTAACAACTTCGGTCGAAAACAAAACATTTGTGTTTCAAGTCTGAATTGTGCTCACGTGTTGTTTGGCTTGATTGGAACTGACAGTAGTACCCTGAAAACAACAACAACAACATCACAGAGTGTGTGCCAGGGTTCAAAACAGTTTTTTTGCAGAGGCGGAAGACGGGAGGGTGGGGGTAGTTGAGTTGTGCTGTGCTCGTGGCTAGAACTGTTCATGTTCGTATGAGGAGTGGGGTGGGGTGGGAACATGGTCTAGATTGGGTTGGTGTGACGGCTAAGCTCAAGTGTAAACAGCCCCAAACTAACTTGCATAGTATTTAACAGTAGCTTATTCCTGGTCCCCTCTATATTGCAACTACTGCACTTCACCTGTGCGCTCTCTCTCTCTCTCTCTTACCACTCTCTTACCAATCAACTCAACTCTCTTACCGGTCCAGTCCAGTTCAGTTCAGCTGAGTGGAGTGCAGTTAGCTTTCCCTTCAGTACTCTGTTTGTGTTATTTATTACGTGTCTATCTCTGATTGTGCATGTGCATGTGTGTGTGTGTGTTGTGTGTGTGTGTGTGTGTGCTTGAGGCCACAGACGTGTCCAATGTACCTCCGCAGGGCCACATTCAACAACAAAACACACTCATTAAACACTACTACTGCAGTCCAGCGAGTCCCAAACTAGCCTTCAATTCCATTCCTATTCTGCTTCCCCCTACAACCAATTACTACCCTTTAGTTTATGATTTCCCACTTTTATTCACTTTATGCTGAACACTTTAGTCCATAATTGTTAGCCTGTCGTCTGTCTCAAATATTTCTCCATTCCACTATTGTCACTTTCAATTCACGTTTCATTTGGTCCAACTCTCAAAACACAGTTTGTTAGTGGCCCCGAGCACATATGGGCAGAACAAAACTGTTCAGCAATAGCCCTTGCAGCAGTTGTTATTCTCCTGCTATTGTGCTGCTATTGCCCTGTACCTGTTAGTTGTGTTGTGCTGTTTATGTACTAAGCATTCGGCCACACGAACACACCAATATCCATTTATGACACTTATTCAATAAAACATTCAATTTTCAATGATCGCTCTTTACCTTTGTGGGAAGTGGCCATGCTCTATAGAATAGACCACTAGCCACACTAGGGCCATGAACAACTCTTACCATTCTCTACTTTGCTTCCATTTTTCCTTCTCTTTTTCTCGCCATTTAATTTAATTTAATTTATTTTCATTTCCATTTTTGTCACCTATTTTTATGCAACTGTTTAAACAATGGCGCATCTCTTTTCTTCTTCTTCTTCTTCTTCTTCTTCTTGCGCACAAATCAAATCACCAAACAACAATTCAACACCACTCAACCATTATTATACATGCATACACACATTATGCGACATCAATTTGCAGATCAGCAAATCCAATGCAGCATAAAATCCAGTTTTGTTCACAGAGCGTGAACGAATAAAGGAGCAGGATTGAACGAACAAAGAAGTGCTGCTCGAGTTCTATTACCGATCAGAAACAGGCCGCCTCATTTTGGCTTTCTCCCTTTCATCCTCCTCTCCCAGTTTTCTTTTCATTTCCTGGACTGCTTTTAACTAATTGTGGGGGTTGGACTTACCAACTGTGTGTTGGCTACAGTTGTTTGTATAGTTGTGAGTATATTGTGCTGCTTGTGTTCAGTTGGGAATTGACTGTTGGTGTCTCTCTTTGGTAGTGATTAGAGTCAGGGGTCCGAATGCGGAACAAATTGCAGGGCTGCCATATCCTGACAAACACATAGTCAGGCATAATAACAATCATATAATAGTTATTGTTCATAATTATATACCTCTATTCCCTTCCATTCCCTTCCATTCCATCCCCACACACTTCTTTCTGTTTCGATTTGATTTGGAATAGGTTCTCTTTTGTTCTACTTTTTGTCTGTGCCGTCCTGTGGCCCAATGTTATTTTGTCATTTGCTGTTTAGCAGATAAGCGAAGTGGGTGAAGAGTGTTCGGACTGGTGGTGCCACATTCATACATTAGAGACACTGACTCTGAAGTGGGCGAGTGAGAATGGTGGAACAGATAGGGGGTCCTTTGGGGGGTGTCTCATTTATCCAGCACCACCTTCCCCAACCTCAGAACATCCAGAACAGTCCCACTGAAGAGACCACAAACAACAACAACAACAACAACAGCTCAAACGGAGACCACCACACCTACAGTTCAATCAACAACAATAGTAACAGTTACAACAGTAGCAGTAGTGTTTCCAACAGCAACAACATCACCCGCCCTCTGGACTTGCAAGAGAGACCAAACAACCTCCTGCTCTCTTCTGCCTCCAGAGGTCAGTCAGCTCAGCCCACAATTAACACACACATACTGTCCAAAAACGATCCCCCATTACCTGGTTTACAAATACGAAGTGCTCTTTAGGTGAGGGGGGTGTGTAAGGGGGGGGACGGTCTGGTGACACTTGAAAGTGAATCAGATAGTTGAATCTTCTGACAAAACATGTTTGTTCATATCGGTGAATGCTGCAAAGTGTATTTGCTTTGTATGCATTTGCGCACTCTTCAAAACAGGTCTGTTCACTCGTAGGCCGCATATTGGATATATTGGTTTGCTTCTGTCTCCCTTGAATATATTGCATTTTGATCCCTCTTTTCTTCCCCTTTGCAGCAGCAGCCACTCTTTTCTACTGTAGGCCTACTGCAGCCACTCAGACTAGAGAGATTTTGGAAAAACTGGTAGTCAAATTGAATAAATGCACAAAAATGATGGAAGAGTTAAGAGCCTTGAATTTGCATTTAGCCCTGTTAGCATTCCATCCACTTTGTTGTTTATCCAACTGTGGCTTTAATAGTTCCTGAACATGAAAAGGCAACTTATCCTCAGGTAGAATCATCATCTCTCTTTGACTGATTAGTCTCATTTCCTGCTAATCTGTGTTGTGTTTAACAGGCCAGTCTTGTGATGAACTGCAGTCTAGCTCATGTGGCGGCTCTGCTGATTTGCTGGGCAACAACACCAACAATAGACTGGGGGGCTTCTCATTCCCCCCAACCAGTGCAACCCCTGAACCCCCCTCCTCTCTCCATTCCTCCCAGCGCAACATGAACAACAACAACAGCAGCAGTAACAGTCACTCTACATCTCCATTGGTGCGCTGCTACAGCCAATCACAGGCCGACACAATGGGAGCACAGCACCTGAACGGGTTCCAGACGGAGGGCAATCCTCAGAGCAATGGGAGTGGGGGTGGGGGAGGCGGAGAGGGGGGCTATGGGGCGGATGACATGCAGGAGAGGATAGACTTGTTAGAGCGGGAGAAGAAAGTGCTTCAATATCACAACCAATTCCTCAAGGTTTTAATTCCTACTATCATAAACTGATAAAACCTGTTTTTTTCCCAAGTGTGGATTATTGGTCTGATAGTGTAATCTCATTAGTGTCTTTTGAACGAAAGTAAGATTGAAGGTGGATGAGACGTTGCTGAAGTCGTTTCTTCATCTGATGGGACGCTGTTATCAATCTTCTGTTATCTTTTTACTGGCATTCTCATTACTTCCCGTTCTGCTCGTTTGTTCGTTCTGCAACGAATTAACTGTCATTTGTCAGGCTGGGTTATCAAATGAGATATAAAAATAGTCTTAGAGTCCGTTTTAGTGATGTCCTCGAGGCAAATGGAACATTAATTTAGTAATTGCATAGCGAAAACTACACCAAGACTGCTCTTGTCAGGACGAAGCCCAGAAGGTTCTGACTTACCTCTAACGTCGATTGAAAGTTCGTTTTTTAGTATTGAAAGCAGTATTGAGTTTGGGGGATGGATCTTTCAGCCGACCAATCTTTTAGCTAAAAGTGAAATATTAATTTTTTAGCTGATCAACGTAATAGAAATGACACATAATTGGTTGACAGACGTAAAAAGACGCTAACTCTTCGATCAAGCTTCCTTAATTAAGGCAATGTGTCGTTTCCGTTCTTGGCCCAACATTACCAAATTACAGTATGAACTTTCAATTTGCTGGAACTCTTTTCAACCTATCGGTTTTGAGCATCTTCGTGAGATCATCAAAAAGATAAGTTTTGGACCGCATATCAAAAAAACTCAAGACAATTATCTAACAATTTGTCAACAAAACGATCAACTCCAAAAGCATAGTAGTCTAAATAAACGTTAAAAAAAAGTTGTGAGCGCACAATAAAACTCGCGCTAAATGCTAGCGCAGTGGAGCGAGCAGTTGCTACTCGCCAGTGCCGCGTTTCAAGTTACTGTTCTGACCTGCTATTTGTTTTGAGTCTGCTATAAGCGGTCTGCTAAAATACATAGCACCTTGAGTTTGAATTTGAGACGGATCGCATTGTTTATTTGGATATACACGCCGCCCGTCGTAATTTGAAAGAATGCTTCAAAATGCTTGAAAAAATTGAAAATATTTTAATTTTTTAAGCTGAATTTTTACCCCATATGCTATTTTAAATACAAAGTGATTACACTTGCGAAAGTAAGTGTCTTCTAATCAGGTCGAGTTTTTCCCGTAAACAACTTTTCTTACATCTGAAGTTGATATTGAAGCTATTTTATTAGTGAACATTATAACTTGCAGATTGCTTCCCACTTGGCCTAGAGGTAACACCGATATCTCTGTACCTTAAGGTCTGGGATTTGAGTCCCGGCCGGAACTTGTTTTTTTTCAGTATTTATAAAGTTATAAAAAATGATCCGGGAAATTAGAAATGTCAGTCTTTTGTTTGTCTGCTTATGTTTTGTTGACTTAGCTGCCACCGTGTGGAACTTTCTTGCGCGTTCAGCAATTGCCGTCGTAGTAGCAAGTGTTTTTGTTGTGTTTCTGTACTTTTTAAAATTAATAGCCTGGCTGTGTATATACATTTTTTTTCGTTAGAAAGCTTGAAATGTATTCAGCTTGTTTTATTAACTTAGCTGCCCTGATTTGTGTCGCTTCTCGAAAAAAAATGATTGATTAAAAAATTCAGGTAGTTTGTGCTGCAAAAGTTCAAATTTTTTTAAAAAAAATTGGTCTTAACATTTAAGTTTACACTATAACAAAGTTGATGAAGCTGCTTTGTATATTTTCTGTCAGAACAAACAGCGAGATGTGCTATCTTATCTGTATACAATTGTGCTTAAAATCAGTTCTGGTAATTGATATCTCCAGCTATTCAGTATATGAAGTAGATGCATGTGACATAGAGGAATGAACTATCTATGGTATGTAGATTGATTGGGTCACAGTGGAATGAGAGGCTATTTTGAGTTCTTCAGCCGAAATACCTGGAGCACAGACTGTATGCTACTGTGACCATGTACTACTGGACTTTTTTGTATGTGTTCGCTTGTGAGAGTGTGTGTGTATTTGTGGTGTGATTTTGTGTTTAGGAGGAATTGGAGAGCCACAAGAAGCAGATAGCTGAACTGCACACTACAGTGGCTGACTTGAGGAAGAGAAACATCAGATACCAGGTCAGTCGCTCAGTCAGTCTCTCTCTCTCTCTCTCTCTCTCTCTCTTTCTTTCTCTCTCTCTCTCTCTCTCTCTCTCTTTCTCTCTCTCTCTAAATAAACCGACAGCAACGCTCAATACTCCATATATCCTAAACAATTTTAGATTTGCAAGTCTCTATGAACGTATTGAAGACACCTATATAGGCCATCTTGATCTTTTTTTTAAGGAAGAAGTCTCAAAATTTGATCACAATCCGAATTTGACTTTTTGCAGTTTGACTTTTGACTGCTTTTGATTTTAAATTGAATTATTATGCTAAAAAGAAGGAAAATTACGCTCTGCGATTACTTAAAGTCAAATGGCGGAAAAAGATATGATCAAGTTTTCTCAAATTGGGGCAATTTTATTTAGAATTGACTTCATAAAAGATTCTGCAAATTCAAAGGGGTTTAAGGTGATATATACTTTTTGAGAGTCGAAAGCTGAAGTTTTCTTACAAAAATTTTTAATCATTCAGTTCGGTTTCCGAGAGTTCATTGACTCTTTTGCTTCTGTTTGTTGGCTATGTTTGTTCACAGCAACGTGAAATTTTACGAGGGAGTTCCTGGATAACTTGGGTTTTCTGAACAGGGTTCGTGCAGTGAAAAATAACAATCAAGAGATTTTCTTAGGAGAAAAATCCAGGGTTTTCAGAAGCCTGTCAGAACTTCTAGTAAGATCGCTGAAATTTTTTTTGTCTACTCCCTATGAACTGTTTTTAAAAAAGAACAAGAATAGCAGGTCATTGCGCAGATATTCTTCAGCTTTCATTTTAAAAAATATATGATCAAACTTCAATGTAAAAAACGGGTTACGAGACCTCAAGTAACGTTTAAGTAAAAGATAGCTTGACTGGCGATCGTAAAGAGTTACAAATTGCCAATTTATCCATTTCGAAAACCAAACAAAACTCAAAATCATTTTTTTTTCGACAAGGAAAATGTTTCCAAAATTTTTTGCAGCTCGAATCACAACTAAAAGGGCTTCAATCGGATCACGTTTGCGATTAGCGATTGTTATCAATCGTAACAGAGATTTTTCAGGAGAACAACTTTTCTCACCGAACCACTGAATCCTTGCTTAAATTTTTTCAGCGTCGCTGTTTTTGTCAACCAGCAGACATACTTTGATCATGTTTGTATTTAAAATACCTGTTCTATTCTTTTTTTAACGTTTTTTGCAAATTTGATAACTCGGATTTCAGATTTTTTTTCACATTAACTGGAAATTTTCCTCTTAAGTTTTTCGCTTATGTTAGTTTTTCGCTTATGTTACAGTCCTCGATGCAATAATCACCTGTTTGCACTAGCAAGCAGCGTAGTGTATTTGTACAAACCTTCTTTTTTCTAATCTAACTCTCAACGAAAAGTGTTCATTAAAAGTGTTCGTTTACTTGGTGGCCTTTTTGCTATAATCACGATCTATAGCATTAGAAATTTCATAGCATCTGTTCTCTGCTTTATTTGTGGCTAGTGTTTGTGATTTATTAAGCGTTCATGGCTGATTGGTTGGGGCGTGAGACGCATAATCTCTTGGTCGCACATCGAATCCGAAACTTAGCCAAGTTTTTACTAATTCGAGGCTTATTTCTACTTTTTCTATTGCACTTTATAGAGCTGCTTTTTGACGTGCTCGCGCTAGTTTTTGCGAAGCGAAAGCTTGGCCATTATGTTAATATTTCATCGTTTGAAGAGCAGAAAAAGGTGTGTAGCGTGTGTATGCTTCGGGATGGGCGGAAGAGGGGTAAAAAGTTTAACTGCTCATCATTTTTTTTCGGCTCAACGCGTTTCTGCCCAAGTATTTTCGACTTTGTCACTGCTTCGTAAAAATGATTTTATGCTAACTTAACACTGGCAATTGTTGTTCTAAACATTTTATCTTCCATGTAAACATCTCTCGAGACAAGTGGAGAGACGCTTTAGTACATCTAGTTTTCGAATTTTTTTCAAACATTTTGTTTAGTGTCTTTATCTACTTTTTTTTTATCAGCTAGCTTGCCATGCTTAGCTTGTGATGTATTGCAAGTGAAGCTCTACTTCACCTCTGTGTATTTTACTCGAGCTCATCTGGCATTTCTTCTGGTAGCTGGATTTGCTTTATGACCAGATTCAAATTAAAGCTACTGATGTCTGTTCTTTGTGCTTTTAGAACATTCTGACGTCTTATGAGCAGATCACGGCGGCTGGCTTCAACAACCTCGACAAAAGCAAGACCAACGCCAATGTCATGTTCCAGAACCAAAGCCAGAGGTACTTATTGTATCATTACACCCATCAATCGCCCAATTTATTTGTCTGGTTTCACTGAGGATTTGGTACGCAAAATTGATGCGAAATTGGTACGCAAAAGAAACAACGCTGATGACACTTGTGCAATTGAAAGCAAAATTGCGCAGGTCAAAACTTTTCTGTAAGTTTTAAGTGCCACTCAATAGTTAAGAAAGTGGGGAACATTGTGCAGGTTTTTTGTCAAATAGTTCGATGTTTACGGAAGTACAATAGACTGTGAGGGGGTTGATATTGTTTTGTATTGTATTGTTTGTCTGTTAGTCTGACGAGTGACGATGACAACATGAGTGAGAAGGCGCTGACTCCGACCTCATCCACCGGCACAGAGTCAGACAGTGCGAAGTCCATACAGCCCCACCACTCATCCCACCCCCACCCCACACATCAACAACAACAGCAACACCCCAACCTACAGATTCCATCCTCCACTCTCACGTCAAACAACTGCAACCGGCAGACCACAGGTAAATACATGCCACTAAATGAGCAAATGAGGCTCCTTTTTTCATTCCGATCAACAAGTGGGAAGGAACGAATGTGTCAGGTGTGTTCCATTTTCTTAGATTTGTTGAGGGTTAAGTTATATCAAAGACCTTCCTGCTTAATTTGATATTAAAAAGTTTCAAAAAGTGTCAAAAGCGGTCAGAATAATTTGGTCTGAACATTTAAAAAAAACGTAACTCTTCGCGGTGAATGGAATGCTTCACGGCCGCACGCCGGCATTTACAAAGAGAAACTACAAAGTTGTTGTCTTCATTAATTGAAAGTTTAAGGACTACTTCCTCAAGTTTAGCTTGACGCCTCCCGTCTAATTCCGCCTGACTAATTTAGGAGCGACAGCTGTGCTTGGAACTCTCTGTGGCACTTTAAAGCAACCAATTGGATGGAGATATACCATAGAGGTATACGATAAAGTCTGAAAAGGCATTGTTTCTGTTTCAGGTGCAGTTGATCCAAAGAGATCCCCAGTAGTGGGAGGAGTAGGAGAGTGGGACTATAGACCCCCCGAGTTCTCTTTCGCCCCCACCGACCACCGACCGCTTCCCTCGGAGAGACCGAGTCCCCTCTCACACCACACGCGGCAGAGATCCCTACAATACTGTCACTCAAACTCGCCCATTGTGGGAGGCAGCCAAAACAACACCATCAAACAGTCTGGCCGTCCATCCAGTCCTTTAGTGGGGGGATATCCGAGAGGAGGGTCCCATAATAACGACGAAGCAGATGATGTGCAGTTCAGTGTAGGGGGAGCACGACCACCATCCGATGCGCCATTCCGATCCTTGTCGAATGCTGGCAACGCGAGAATGAACTCATTGGGGGGCGGACATGTGGCCACAGGTACACCCATGACACCACAACATCCGATCAGTTCCTCTGCCACTCTGAACAGCAGAGCCAGCTCATGCAATGAGCGGAAAGTGGCGCCGGGACCTCCCCCACGCACAAGTGCACTGAGCAAACTGGACAACAGAAACGACAAGTGCTGCAGTGTGCCAAATTTGAATGTGTATGTAAATTCCTCAGATCAGAGACAACAGACTCAGCTACAGTCACAGAATCAGGGCTACAACCACAGTCGCAATAAAGACAGTCTGGAGAGCCAGACGAAGCCAGGGCCTCTGAAGAGAAACAACAGCCTCATCAGGTTGTTTAGTCGCAAGAGCAGCACAGGCCAACAGTTCTCCAACAAGAATAAGGATCCAGGGTCCCCCATGAAGAGAGGCCAGCCTAGACAGAACAGCTTGGGTGGGGGCATGTACGGGGGAGGGGGAGGGGGAGGCAGTGAAACGAGCACCCCCAATCTAAACTCCAGCAGGCACAATTCAATATCCTCGCACACATCCTTAGCTGACAGCCATCAAGGTGAAAATGCGAAATTCTTCATAACAATTTTTTATAAGATCTCAAACAGCATTTGCATACGTTTAAGTTGCACTTCATTAAAAGAACCTCAAATTTTCAACAAGTTCCATCAAAACAAAAAAGTCATACAAAACGGTCATACATGTTGTAACTGAATCTGACTCTGAGTTCGCTTGTCAAATTCGGTGTCTGTTTCAGTTCCCTTCCAGCAATGGGATCGTCTGATGGTCGCATCGTGGCTAGAGCGACTGGGTCTGGGCCAGTACGTGGGATCCTTGTCGTCCAGTGCCACCGGAGCCTCCCTGGTCTCCGCTGGACCCCACCACTTCGAGAAGCTACTGGGCATGAAGAACCACCTGCACAGGAAGAAGTTGATGTTGGCCATGAGGTCCCAACTGAGTCCCAGACCCAACCCAGTCGACCACATAGACCACCAGTGGGTGATCAGATGGCTAGATGACATCGGACTTCCCCAGCACAAGGAGGCATTCGCTGGTGAGAGCAAATGAAAACAACCAATGTGGGAAACAGCGAGGCGCCAAACTAGACTCGAGATCAGTAGCGTACCGGGGGGGGGGGGGGGGGTGGCTCAATTCTGGTTACCATACTCTTCCAAAGGGTCCCCCTTTGATATAGTCTTACGACATCCGTTTTTTGCTGACGAATCTCAAAATTTTTTCAGGGCGCCTTAGGCGCCACCAATATTAATAATTTTGAGGGGGAGCGCGCGCCGAGAAAACGCATTTCTTAGGTCAAAATTTTCCAAATAGTGCCTAAAAACGCCTTTTTAAACCTGTTTTGTTTAAAAATTTGTTTGCGTCCCAGAAAAATTTTGACAATATAGGGTCCATATAGAATGCTCGGAAAAGTAAATTGTTCGACCTAAAGAAAAGGTCGGCAAAATTAAAAAACCGCCCCCTAAGAAGATTTCTGCGCACGGTACTGCTCGAGATAAATCTACCTCTTAACTGGGTATCGTCATTTATTACTGATTGACTTAGGTGTTCAAACAGTCGGCCAGTGGTTCCGAGTTCTTTCAGTTTTTTTGTGTAAATTGAAAATATATCACAAGTTTATTGCAGACCAAAGAAAGGCTATTTGTGTGAGTAGTGTAGTGTTGCGTGGTTTCAGAGGCCAAAATAGACGGGCGAGTGTTGTACTACTTGACCTTCGATGACCTGGTCAGTCTGAAGGTGTTCAGCGCCCTCCATCAGATCAGCATCGGCAGGGCAGTCCAGTGTCTCAGAACCCAACAGTGGAACCCACACTGTCTAGTCAGGCGGCCACACCCACAGCAATCCCAACCCCCACACCCTCCGCCCTCTCCCTCGCCCGGGATAATGGGAAGTGGGGTAGGAGAGGATGGTGGTATGGACCACGGCCTCCAGATGCACCCCTTGCCCATGGACCAGAGTGGGCAGCCGAGTGGCCATGGGAGTGGGTTCCAGGAAGACCTGATGTTATGGACCAATCATCGAATTATGGACTGGCTCAGGTGCATTTCATTCATATGCATGGTAGTTATGCTTTAATTCAATGAGATTGAAAATATTAATTACTTCAAAAAATGAATGGCTGAAAGCTAGCGTGTATACTTTATTCGGCAGCTTTTGAAGCCCTTGCCAAAATTTAACTCTGATCGGGTTTATCTGTTCGCCTGAATTAAAGAAGGGTATCCTTGTGTAGGAGCATAGACCTGTCCGAGTATGCCCCCAACCTGAGAGGCAGTGGAGTGCACGGGGGTCTGATGAGTCTGGAGCCGAGGTTTGTGGGGGAGACACTGGCAGATGTGTTGTGCATCCCCAACAGCAAGACTCTCCTCAGGAGACACCTCATCACCCAGTTCAACAGACTAGTGGGCGCCCCCTGCGAGGAACTGAAGCGAATGGTCGAAATGTCAGGTCACATCAACTGCCATCTTAATCAATCATTTCAGCTCATTTTAATCACTTTTTTCTCCCATTATCCAAAACAATCTTGCTTCTAGGCATATGAGTTTACTAAATCGACAGTTGAAATTTATTAAGTATCCATAAACGCAGTGAAGATGCTCTAGTTTAGATCGTGTAATTTCATGTTTTTTTTCAGGAAAAAGTTTCCGAAGTTGTAAACGCTCAATTTTGATTTTCGATTCATTTTTGAGTTACTTTCAAATTCTACCATCATTTAAGTAGTAATTAGGTAAAGATTGTTTCAGTATGTTATTATTTCAAAAAACTTCTCATATTTTTTTCGAGTTCGTGGTTTCGTCCTAGTTTCGGTCGGTTCATTTTCCGTTTTTTTTGTAACGCCCCCTTTTTCATGTACTGGGGTTTTTTTATTGTCTTATTTTCTAAAACATTTTTCCATTTTAAACAGTTTTTTACTTTAATTGAATGTTCAGTATTTTATAAATTTTTTCAAGTCTGATTTTGTATGTTTTTTCATTTTTTTAATATTTAAATGTTTTCTCGGCTTTGCGTAATTTTGAAGGCAAAATATTTTCGGATAGAATTATATGTTTCGGTATGAATGGGCCGTAAAAACTTTTAAAACTTCATGAAATGTTTTATGACAACAGTTTTGTTTTCGGCTCAGCAGGTTTCGACCTAAAGTTTGTCACCTCTGTTGCCGCTCGGTGAATGATTTTTTTTGTAACTTTCAATTTAATTTTCCAGAATTCTGTTTTTTTTCCATTCACTGTCATCTTGTAGCGCAATGTATATCGCAATTCAAAGTTTTTCAAACTAGCTCAATACTGGCTGTTGTGTTCCGCCACAGGTTTTCATCAAAATGAGTTTCATTTTGAGACAAATATTTTAAAATTTCGGTGCTGTTGTTTGGCGATTTGTGGGTTTCTGTATCGCAAGTGGTGCAAAGCTCAGCCCCGCATCTGTGGCCTATTTTTTATTGAATAAAAATGATGTTCATACTCTGGTTACTTACTAGGCCACTTCCAACTCCTTTCCCCCAGCATGAAGGTGAAGTGTCCCCCTCGCAGGGCAAGGGGTAGACGGTCACGTGACAAAGGGGGGACCCTGGACGACCTGGTCTGTCCACTGGAGTTCGAGGTGCCCAACTTCATCTCTCCCAATATATTGCCCCAGGGCTACCTGATCAGGAGTGAACACTTCACCAACATCCCCCTCTCGCCCTCCTCACTTCTACTCCTCCAACCCCACAGGTGACCATCATTCTTTCATTCTTACACTCTCTTCATCACTTCCTACTTCTCTAACCGACTAATCATCAAAACGCTTTTAAAATGAATGAATCAATTACCGCGTCGTTTTCCTTGAACATCGGCTTTATTTTAAAATCTTACAGGACTATCTGGCGTAAAATGTGTTCAGCATTTAGAATTAACAAAAAATCGTCTGAAAAAACTCCAACTGATTCTGATAAATAACATATGGCGGCCACATGTAAAATGTCTTCGCTTCGAGAACTGTCTAAAAAGAAATGAAAGTGCGCATTGAAAAGTTAGACAAATGTCACGTGTGGTGTGTCCTCCTCATCTTCCGATTATGTGTGTCTCTCTCCTGTTTCAGATCTCCCTCTCGATCCACTCTGGACTCCATGTCCACTCTGGGCAGACAGTCGGCGGCAGGCAGTCTGGAGGACTTAGTTGGGGCAGGGGCTGGGACAGGAGGGGCGATGGGAGTAGGAATGGGGGGCATGTTCGTGGGGGAGGACGAGGATGCGGCATTCACAGCAGAGTCAGTGCAAGATATCTCCATGCTGTCCACTCAGATTCAGTCTCTCACATCCCAGCTGTCACATGACCAGGAGCACAACAGCTGAACAACCAGCGACGACACACCTGCGAGAGAACTGACTATCAAATCAGAACAGAATGATGTCGTTTCTGTGCAAGTCCACCAGGGAGACTTAATTTTTCAATTTTAACACTAGACTCAAGTTTGCAGTTACAAACACTCACTGTACCAATTTATATAGCAACGTAAATTGTAAAGTAGACAGAGTTAAATGATAAATGTTTCTAATTTGAAATTGACTTTTTTTCTACGTTGTTGCGAAGAGTTTTTCCTTTACAAACGGATTGAAAATTATCATATTGTGGAATTTTGGAATACTCAAAATCTCACAAAAATTATTTGCATTTTGTACACTTGCGAAGCAAAGTTTTATAGCGCAAACTTTTTTTTCAGCTTAAGTTGCAAATATTGTTGCGACTTAAAGCAACAATATTTGCTGCATCGATTTGGCAGACAGCTTATTTGTTGCACCTTTACAGCTTATTGACAACATTTGCTTGGAAATTCGAATAGTTATAAGTTTACACAGTTGATGCATTTTTAAATCATCAAGTGAACCGCAAAAAAAGCTATTTGTTTCAAACAACTTTACAGTATTAAAATCTCGGTTTCAGAAACTTTCCAACTCAATATATCTCGCAATTTTTTTCGAATGCATAATTTATACAGAATGTGGCTTTCTGATTTCCAATTTATGACATGCAAAATTGTATCTATTTGTGTTTGGTGCTACTTTTGCTGCATCGAATAAGCAATTTATTAGCATATGTAGCTGCATTATTGGTGGCTAGTTTTTGGGGATTTTAAGCATCCGTGGCTGAGTGGTTAGTGCGTGAGACTCAAATTTGCTAGGTCGCAGATTATTGCTAATTCTAGTTTTTGCTAAGCTTCGAGTTTTTGCAAATTCGAGGCTTATTTCTTCTTTTTCTTATGTCTCTTGATAGAGCTGCATTTGGTCGTGTTCTCGCAAGTGTTTGCGAAGCGCAGCTTCGCCTGTGTGTGAAAAAGATGCTTTGCGTGCTAGCTTGAGTAGGAGGTAAGAATTCAGAGCGAAAAATCCATGGATATTATGGGAACTCATTCAAAAACAAATGGTGCTGAAGTTAGTACCAAAAACCAAATTTTCTGTCATTATCAAGTGCGTCATCTTTCCAAAAATGACACTATTACACAGACGTTCAAGAATCATTTTATGTCGAATCCTTAGATTTATCACCTTAGGTTATACCGTTTTGCTTAGGTTTTTAGTTGCTAGTTTTCGAGTAGCCTCTATTTAGAAAAATTCTTCTTTTTTCTCCTTTACAGAAGCGTTGCGTATTTTAATCATACACAGCTTTTTTCAGTATAAGTCGCACATATAAATGCACATTTGGTGTCTTTTTTGTTTGTTCTAATCATAGGGAATTTTAATAGCATCTGCTGCTGTTTTGTTGGTGGGTAGTGTTAGTTAATTTACGAGCGACTGTGGAATATATGCGAGTACAAGATAATAAAAATCTCCAGACAGAAAGCAGAATTTTTGATTCAAGTCTTTTTGCATTGGCGATAGCAAGTGTTTTGTAATCAAGAACTACACTTTTTCCCCGTAAACAACTTTTCTTACAAAATATTGCCATTGCTCTAATACTGAACTTCAAAAATTTCCCTGGTTCCGTCTCACTTAGCCTACAGGTAACGCGGTCGCTTTTGCACGCTGCGCTTTGGGGTTCAAGTCCCGATAAGACTTTGTTTTTTTTAGAATGGTTTCAGTATAATTTTTTTAAAATCTGCTCAGCTGGTTTCTGCTCAAAGATTAAAGGCTTCGTCTCCATTTCGTAAGTTTAGCTCTATTTTTAAAATAAATATCACTTTTCGTGCATGTTTTTTGAGAATTTTTTATTGATAAAAACAGGTACTATAAAACATTATAGATTTGGGTGTTTTATTTCAATTTATCTTTTTGAGACGCTTTGAAATTTCTTCAAAAATAATTTACCGATTTTCATAAAAACGGTTATTCTTGGAAATTTGGCTTTTCTCCTGTGTGCCTGCATAATTCCATAATTCCCTAATCCCTTTCATTTTACCACTGTCTACAGCCTTCGAAAATGTCCGTGGGGTAGTATTTGACCAATGTTTTTTCTTTTTAACAAAACGCACTCTGAAGTCTACGATTTTGGGTACATTGGATAAAACGTAATTTAGGAGGCTCTACTGCGTGAACGACTAGGTACTATTTTTTTACGAAGATTTATGGCCTTTGGAGAAGTCAATTTTTTTGATTGTTTGACTCTTTTTTGAAGCTTTTATCAAAAACTATTCTCACAACTCTAAGATTTTGAGTTCGACCGAACTAACGCCTTGTGTGAAGTTGCCCTGCACGGTTCGCTACGCGCAATGTTTTCGGCACAACAATGTTGGCCCTCAAAAATTTTCGTTTTTTTGATTTATGAAACTATTTGATCTTTCTCCAAAACTAACTTCTCAAATCTGAGTTTTTGGTTTCAATCGAAATAACAGTTTGTGTAAATCTCTTCTGCACAAATGGTTGAGCCAATTTTTATAGATTTTTTTAATTTCTGAAAGTCAATTATTTGATTGGTTGACCTTTCTTTTGGATTTTTTTTTTGCTATTCTATAATTCTTAGGTTAAAAGTTCAATCGAGAAACTTGTGTTTGGGAATTTTTACTGTAAATAAGTAGCCACGCTCTAATTTTGCAGGCAAAAATATTAATTTCGGAAAATCAAATTTTGGAAAATTTCGCCGTTTTTTACGCGTAATGCTTTAACTAGCGTAGTGTTATAGTACGAACGTTTTTTTCCTAACATCAGTCGCAATTTTTAGTGCCATTTTTGAAGGTACATTTACGATTTTTTGATAGCATTTGCTTTGACTTTCGATTTAGAATAAGCTATCAAGATAGTGCATTTTTAATTCATGAAATGAACCGAAAAAAGCGATTTGTTTCAAACAACAGTACAATCGATTTCAGAGCATTTCAATATATCTTGAAATTTCTTAAAATTGACAACATACACCTAATTTGGCTCTATGCTTTTCAAATGATTACATGCAAATTTAGTGTGGGTGCCTTCAATTTATTATATTCTAAATTATTACTAGCAAAATTGCGTCTGTTTGTGTCTGGTGCCACTTTTGCTGCATATTTCATAGCCTATGTAGCTGCTTTATTTGTGGCTATTGTAGTCAAAGACATTGTTATCATGAACCCGTGTAGCAGATGCGAGGACAGGGGAATGAAAATCTCCTGAACAAAGGCTCGAATCAGCCACAGCCAAGTTTTAAATGATTTTCAAAGGCTTACTTTCACGTTTTTTCTCGCACTTTACTTTATAGAGCTACTTGTTGCCGCTTTCTCGCTTGTTTTTTTTTTTCAAAATGGAGCTGTTTCTATGTCTTAAAAATAATCATTTTTTTCCCACCAATAATTTTAGTTTGAGAAATTGTGACGTGAAACGGATTTTTTCAGACAATTTTGCCCAGTTGGAACCGGTCCTCCCATTTTGCTATTCAAAAATGCAAGTTTAGGGAGCTAGGGAAAAACTGAATGACGGTTATTTATCAGCGTTGATCGGTTATTCAGTTCAAAGTATAAAAAGGGTGATTTGTTTGTCGCATGGGCTCAATATAGTCGGCTCTTTTTCATTTTCCCTCCGCGCCTGAAATATTTTAAGAGTAAATTTATTGTTCACATTATCCAATTGTTATTACGCTTGCAATTAGCAAGCATTATGACATCGGATTAAAGACTATTTTTGCTCTCGTTAACAACTGTTAAACAGATTCTTTTCAAATTTCTAAGCGTCTCTGGCATACTTAGTCTAGAGGTAACGAACATGCGTGGAACGGCAAAAAAAACATGATTTTGAATCTGACCAGGGCCTGTTTTTTTAACGGGAAAAAATCTGTTTTAAAATAATGTCGGCTTAAGATTTGTCTGCTTATTGAGTAAGACATCTTAGATTTTTTTTTGCTGTATGCAGCTTTCATTGTAGTTGCTTTTTATGTTTTCTTTTACTGCTGCAATTTGTAATTCTACTAGCCTTGTTTTCGTATAATTTCCACTTTTTTTTCGCTCTAAAAAATTTTTGGCCAACTGATTTTGGCTAATATTTTATAATCTTACTAACCTAATTTTGGGTCTTTCGAGAGAATCATAGCTTGTATGCTCTCCTCCGAATCGCAAAAGATGTCAAAAATCTCAGAATGGATTTGGTCTGCAAAATTTTTGTTGTTAACAATTTTTTGCTGGCAAAAGTTTTATTTTCGCTTAATAATCTTTTTGGACATTTTGTAATCAAATAGAAAGTCATTGCAGACAATATTTTGTTGTGCTTTTTTCGAAATGTTTTCTGTTTTTTTTTGGACTTAGTGGCTCTTGTTTCTTTTCCTGTCTGCTACCTTGCAACGCTTTTTTTGTGGTATCACAAGTGATGCGAAGCTTAGCTTTGCTTCTATGTGAAAATTGACATGCATACTATTTAGACCTTGACAAGCATATTTGTTCTTCATAACCAAACTTCGTAAAACCACTCGTTACATGAAAAAACTGATGCGTGTGACAGACGGGGGAAAGAGCCATTTCTTGTGTAGGTTCATCATCATAATTCTAATTTCTTAGTTCAATTGTTTTAAACTCTGCTCTGATTTTCAGATTTTGCTCTAACTGATCCCCAGAAGTGTTTGCAACAAATTGTCAATGGGTCATAGCTAAGCTTTGAATTTCAAAAATAACTGAAAAAGGCAACTTTTTTATCATGAATTCACATTAGATTTTACCAAGTGTAATGTTCTGAGTAATTTCAAAAACAAATATAAATTTTAAAAGAAACTTAAAAAAGTTTCAATTGTTTTAATAGTTGGAGAAAAAACTGAAACGATCATTGGCTCAAATATAATTAATGTAGCTAGAGAAGATGCCACTGTTGATTTTTTCAAAAATTAGCGATCCATTGACACTTGACGCAAATTTTGAAATTATTATATCTACGCATTTGATGATCCTTTTCTTATTGAAGAAAATCAAAATCCTTTTTTTTTTTAAAATACACAAAATAAATTGCTTCGCAGAAACTATATCATGACAAAGTCTTTTCTTGAATTCGGTTTTCCCCAAGAAAAAATTTTTTTTTTTTTTTCAAAAACTCTCGTCAATCAGTGAAAGTTCTTGATATGTTGCTATACATTCCTATGTCTCAAATTAGACAATTTCTATCTAAAATTTCTAAATATGTAATAACTCTAACTTTCACG